TTCTAATGAACTGTGTCGCTCACCTGCATCTTTAACAATAGCCAATGTTTAGTAAAAATCATCGTTGAAGAGCTATAACTCCATAAAGTGTTAACAGACAAATTCAGTAATGTTGATATATTTTGTAGATTTTGTCTTGTTGATAATTTTTGCAATTTAACATTTCTATCTTTCTAATATAGTTTTCAAGATAAAAGGCAAAACATGGTAAAAAAAAATCATTATTTAAGGGCAATAACTCTTATAAGGAGTTGACTGACGATTTGGGCCATGTTGTCGTTTGAGTTCCGAGTCAGGCTATCTGAACCCTGTGTTGTCTGTTGTTGTTTGTGTACCGAGTCAGGCTATCTGGACCCTGTGTTGTCTGATGTTGTTTGTGTACCGAGTCAGGCTGTCTGAACCCTATGTTGTCTGATGTTGTTTGTGTTCCGAGTCAGGCTATCTGGACACAGTGTTGTCTGATGTTGTTTGTGTTCCGAGTCAGGCTATCTGGACCCTGTGTTGTCTGATGTTTTTTGTGTTCCGAGTGAGGCTATCTGAACCCTGTGTTGTCTGATGTTTTTTGTGTTCCGAGTGAGGCTATCTGAACCCTGTGTTGTCTGATGTTGTTTGTGTTCCGAGTCAGGCTATCTGGACCCTGTGCAGGGGCGGATCCAGGATTTTTGTAAGGGGGGCGTAGTATTAAAGTTCGCCGAGCGGAGCGAGGCGAAAATTTTTTTGGGATCTTTTTTTGGCTAAAAAACATAAAATAAGTGTTAAATGCATTTTATAGTTAAAGTGTAGGGGTTGGACATTTTTGGTGCCGTCAATTGTCTATTATGAAATGATTGGATGGATCCAAAGCTATGTACTAATTAATATATTTGATGTGGGATTTGTCAGTAAAAAATGGACATGGAAAATTCTCGTTTGTTGTATGGTTAGTTAGCATAACCTCACAGGTTTCTTGTTGTAAACAAGATATATGGCTTTTCAATGAAATTTACAATACGACCGACACGAAGAAAGACAAACAAGCAATTGTCATCCAAGTGTTTGGTTGAAATGTTTTACCCAACAAGGGAAGTGAGGGGTTCCAAATCAACCAAAGGCTACGAATTAGTCGGAAATGACAATGAAGTTGTGAATGACGGTCGACACATGGAGACATATAGGCCACACCCAGCAGGCAGGTTGCAGTCGGGCCTTGAAAAAAAGTATTCAGTATATCAGTTCGGCGAAACAGACATTCCGGTCAGATATGGGATTCACATGCAACCCCCCCCAAAAAAAATGACGCCCGTTTTTTATTCATCATGTTCATTTAATGCTAAATAATTCTGTTGAAAATATTTTTTTCTAATAGCAAAAAAGTGGACAAGATTATTGTTTTCAATCCAGATACGGCCAGAATTTTTGTTTGAGGCAAAAATCAGGGTCAGAATTTTTTCTCTAAAATATCTCAGACTGCCCCCTCAGATCAAATGGTCCGTACCTTAGACTTTAAATCTATATCTAGAGCTTACTGACTGAGGATCACTATTCAGCAATGTTATTAATGGGCTGGGGCGTGTGGGGTTAAACATGTTTTCGTAGGTAAATAATATTGCTGTGGAACTTTTTTTTTCATGAGAGTGTAATAGAGTATTACTTTCTGTTGGGTGGAATTGTGAAATAGAAGTCAATACGTTCTTGCTCACTTTCTTTGTCGCTTTGAAGGCGTCATGCTTGTCATCCTCAGCCTAAGCAATGTGTTACTGTAATTTGAATTTCAAAATGACTAAGTGACGTTTTTTCGACGAACTGGTCAACTCCACCGTAGAGAATCACATGACTTTGACATAATCAATAATATATTACAGTAAATACGAACGAAAATATCTTTATAAGTACAGAATTGTCGCATAAAAATTAAATACACGGGAAATGGCAAAGTTCACGAAGTCTAGTCCGATTAATCATTTTACAAAAAAAAAAAAAAAAAAGTGCAAGCAAAGGGGGGGCGTACGCCCTCTACGCCCCCCTCTGGATCCGCCACTGGTTAAAATAAACAAACACCTGAATTACATATGATACTGTCCACTCAGTTACACCCTTTAACTCACCTATTGTGTAGATATCTATTTCCTTCTATTGTCCATGTCAATCAAGGACAAGCAATACAATACAATACAGTTGTAACCTGAGAGGGAGCATCTCAAAGATTTAACCCAACTTAGTTTATTTTTACACCTTCTGCAGGAACAGAAAAAAATGCTCATCAAAATCCAAACAACGATTTTATCTTTCTGAAACACAAAATGCATTTAACTTTTATATATTTAGTGGATACCAGGCCTTAAAACTTTTTCAACTGGACAGGTTAGTATGTACACAGAGTAGTTTTTGAGGTGTAAATACAGCCATTTTTGTTCATTTGTTATGATGAACCTTAAAAGCATTCCCATTTTTAAAAAAATGCTCACATGAAGCTAGCTATTAGATTTAAAGAAGTTCTGATTTGTAGTCCCTGAGAAAAAGTTACATAAAATTTTTATTGGACATGTTGGACAATTGCACAGACATAGGAAAACCAGTTTGTCCACTCCTTCTAATAATAATTCAAATACTGAACAAATCTTTTATATCATTTTCGTAGGAAATTTGTATATTGGGTAATTGAATTTATTTGTTTCAAAGGTCTGCTGAGCTAAAAAAAGTTACTGAAGTAAATCATCAAAGGACAATGGCCACTCTTTCAATTCATTGTCAAAAGCTGCATAACTCTCACATGTCTTATGGAAATTAATTTTATACTGCCACTTTATTCATAGAAAAAGATCAGATGCATAAAAAGAGTCAATTTAAAATTTTCACATTCTGAAGTTGATTCAGAAATATGAGTTCGAGAAAGTCAAAATGTCCAAAGAATTTTTTTTATGAAAACTCATGTCGCTCACCTAAGTCTATGTGCATTTTCAACAATGGACACTCCAACATTGAAGAATAGAATATATTTATTTTTTATTGTTAATCTTTAATTGCTGATCTTTTTTTTCTGTTTACAGTTTCTCTCTATCTTTAAGTTTTCGTCCAAAACACAGAAAAGGGTTAAAAATCGCCATTGAAGGACAATAACTCCTTTATACAACTGACAATTTCATCTATGCTTACCTTTTTGAAGATCTCGTCTTGCTGATCATTTTTGCTTTGCTTTTAAAAGTTTCTATCTGTCTAATATAGTTTAAAAAAAAATAGGCAAAAATGCCAAAATATTGTAAAAATTGGCACCAACTCCTATAAAGAGTTGACTGACCATTTCAGCAATATTGACTTACTATTAGATCTCTTCTTGTTTATCATTTTTGCATTTAAAGTTTCTATCTATCTATTAAGGTTTTCAAGATAATAGGAAATAACACAAAAAATTGGTAGAAATCGTCATTAAAGGGCAATAACTTCAATAAGGAGTGTAATGACAATTTCGACCATGTTGACTTATTTGTAGATCTTGTCTTGCTGATTTTTTTTTTGACAATTTTAAGTTTCTTTTTATCAATGACAGTTTTCAAGATAATAGGCAAAAATCCATACAATTGATAATAAACTGTTCACACAGAGATATATATCGCCTTTCTGCATAAAATTCAGAAACAGACAATCTAATGGACAACAACATTGCTTATTAACTCAGTAGCTGGACCATGATCTGGTGGGTAGGGCCTGAAAATGGCTGACAAACTGAGATGTACAGACAGTAATGTAACTTAACAGAAAATATTGTTGTTCTATTGTATAGTTTTTTTTAACTATGACCAACCGGAAATGATTGTGGCTAAACTTGGTTAAATTTTTCCCAGTAATTTCAGAGAAGATTTTTGTAAAAGTTAAGGGACAACGACAGATGGACGCCAAGTGTGGTAAAAGCTCGACCTGCTGGCCTTATGGCCCAGGTGAGCTAAAAAAAGAGGAGAGGTGCTACATGTAAGTGATGGCAAAAGCTCTATGCACTCCAAAGACAGGTGAGAACAAAAACATATTTTCAAGTGAAAATTACAATGGACCATTTTAGGGGAAGGGTTGAACAATCACAAACATGTCATATCCTTTGTGAGCCTCTCCCAAGTCAGGAGCCTTTAGATATTGGTTGATGTATGTCATTAACTAAACTCATCTTTTTCTTTTGTTGTTTCATCATAAATCAGGCTTTCTAAAGCTGAGTATGTTGTGTGTGTTTTTCTTCATTGTTAAAGGTTGTACAGTCACCTATAGTTGCTAAAATCCACATCTTTGGACCATCATGACTATGGTAAATAGTTGTCTCTATGGCAAGCATACTATATCACCTTATTCTAACATGTCTAATATCGTGTGAAAATCACAGCCATGACACTACACTTATCTTGAGGATGTTTGCTTCTCTGTTTCAAAATAACAAGCCCTTTAAAAGACTGTTTTAAATTGATAGAATATAAATAAATGAACTTAAAAAGCAGAAAAAAATTATAGGCCCGTGTCCTTGTTTTTGAGATATAATCAAATATATTTGAAATTTTGGCGGGAAATGATTTTCTCATGAATTTTCATCCATTTATTTTAAAGATTTTCAAAAATGGCTTTTTAAACTATATCATATATGTAATAAAGTTATAAAAAGTAAGTAGGGGTTAGCGGGCAATTTTGTTATTGACACTATATAGATAAGACTAGAGGATTCTGAATATCTGACAAAAAGTAAACAACAAGAGTAGCAAACATCCTTAACAAAAAAAATGAAAATAGTTTCTTAAGGTAGCTATATAGGTTGACCAGTTTTTTGTTTTTTTTTGTTTTGTTTAAGTAAGAACATTAGCCATTACAACAGACAACACCCAGCACCAACAACTGCCTCTTCCGAGAAAAATAGAAAATTGATATTGAAACAAAGCCTTAAAATGGTACAGGCACAACATGTGGAGGGGTCAAACCAGTATTCATACTGTCCAATATTTTTAAGCTGGAACTAATTAGATTAACTAATTCCCCTTTTTCAAAAACTCTCAAAAGAAAACAATATTTAATGCACCAAAAGTTGAACATTATTTATAAACTCCTAATTCAACTGACATTGTTTGCACTGTTTTATTCCGATGTTTTTCTGCCTCATATTAGAAACGATGGTTCTGCATGTCAAATGTCCTATTTTCAAATAAATGTCAACTGTGAATAATCCAAAAATTCTCACTTTATAATAGATCGAATAATTGCACATGTATATTATTGACAAATCAAACCATATTTGCATCCTCACCATTGTCAAACGAAATGTTGTATTCACATTTACTAAGAAATGACATCTCAATACATTCCGACCTATCTTTTACATATTTAATCTGCTCTGGTTCCATTATATCAACCAACTGTATAAATATTGCATATGAACAGACTGACTTTTTCACTCTGGGTCCATTATATCAACCAAGTCGACAAATATTGCATAAGAAAGACGGACAATGTCCACGATTATATCATCACGACCCAGACAGGATAGAACGCCACAAAATTTTTTCTTCAGATCTTCTTGATTATTTCCACCATCAAGAGGTCCCATAGCATCTTCTAATAAATTGTTTGTACAAGTCAGACGGAATTTCTGCATCGATTTGATGTGAGCTAGAGCTTTCGTAATGTCCGTTAAATTCTCTTCTGTCAATATATTCCCTGCAATGTCTAGAACTTTAAGGAATTCCAAATCATGGCGTAAAATATGACAAAATTCCGACACTGAAGCATCTGGTAAATGATTCTGAGCTAGACTAAGAATTTTTACACTTGAAAAATGTTTTGTGATCTTTAACAAAAACATAGGCGATATCCTATCATTGTCATAGATAGAAAATTGGCACACTTTACTTAAATTTAGTTCCTTTAAGTGATTTGCATGTTGAGACTTTGTCAAACATGACAGGTCGTTTTCATTCAAGTCACAGCCCCTTAAACTGAGAAATTCCAGGGGTTGTTTTAATGCTGTTAATATCTCACCAAGACAACCAAGAAGGTAATTGAAGCTTAGATCCAATCGAATTAAGTTTGGGAAACAGTTTAAAGTTTCCACTATTTTATTTCGTAATGCAGTTCTACTTCTCGTTCGACCTTCCTGTAAATAAATATTACAGTCCTGAAGATCTAATGCACGAACGTTTTTAAATTTCTGAAGGTCTGATGCTACAAGGAAGAAAATTCCCTCTTCAAGTTGCTTCAGCTCGATTCCTTCAATGTTCTAAAAAATAAAATAATAAATTGTTTTGTTGGTTTATATGATTGGGTTAGACTCCACCCTGGGTGATTTAGACCTAAAAATATTGTACAGACATTTGTTTTTTGTTCAATATAAAAAAGAAAATGTGGTGTGATTGCCAAGACTGTTTCTAAGACTTTAGAAATCTTCTGGTTTTTGTGCTATTTAGTTACTGCTTTATTGCTGCTTACTTCATACTTTCTGTTATTTACATTACGCTTTAATAGATTCAAAAGTCAAATCCAATGGCTTCTTTTGATTGATTTTTGTTCACTTAATGTCCAGTGGCAACTGTTTTATGCATACTGTGGATTCATTTAATTTCTTGGCCTCCCATTTTCTTTGATTGAAGAAAAATTTAATTTTCGTGGATATTTGATTTAATGGTTTTGCCGAAGAATACATAAAAGCAAATAGACATTTAACACTTCCTTGAACTATTGAATTAGTGGTTAATTTTTACCCACAAACTTAACGAAAATTGGTATCCCACTAGTAATACTGAATCCACAGAAATCAGAACGATGCTTAATGTCGAATCACACCAGTAATAATATTAGATTAACATTAGAAGATATTGTTGACCAATAATTGAGTTAAAATGTCCCTATAGTATTAACGAAACTGGGACCCTGTATTAAACAATTTGTAACTATAACAGTTAAATAATTATTTATGAGGACAACCAAAGAACCTGTGTAGTAAAAAAACTAATCATTTAAATGCATCTTTCTCATAACCTTCCTTGATAAGTTATTGTAGTGTGGTTATATATCTCTTTTGGTAAAATCACAAAAATACATTCTATATGTGTATCTCAAACACTGATGTCAACCAATAAAAAAGTATCTCAACTAACATGATTGACAAAAATTGTTCTTCTGAGGTCAAATGCTTCTATTTAGCCCAAATAAGACAATAAATTGGGTTAAAAATGTCCACTACATTATTTCCAATGATTATTTTATATCATCAAAACAGAAATTTATGTATAAACAAGATATAGTTTTTAAGAAAAATCTATGGATTTGAAAAAGGAGATTTGATGGTTTTAAGACAAAGTTATGAACATATTTCGCCAATTTTATGTGCTTTCTACACAAATGTTCACCTTTTCTGAAAGAATTCAATCAGTTATATTTCAGAAAATAAAAGACTTAAAGGCTTTTTTTTCTATTTTCAGATATAATTCAACAAGCAAAACTTGTATGTAACATTTTAGGAAAAATCATGACATAGCCCATTTGCTGTTTCTTGACCTGAAGTCAAATCTGTGGGTCCAAGCCTATCAAGACAATGTAAGGGGCTTTATATTTGAAGTCAAACCTCTGAGTTCTTGTTTAGACTCCCTAAACAATATTAAAATGGGGCTATTTAATTTAATGAAAACCTATGGATTCAAGCCACTGAAGATAATATTTTTAAATTGGGCATTTTGTTTGTAGAAATATTGCAGAGTCTAAAACTCTCAAGACAATTCAAGGGGTAATTATTTTAAGACAAACCTCTGTTGAAACCCTCCAAGGACAACAAACAGGACTATCTATTTTGGATAAAATAAATTGTGCATTTTAAGACAAATCTCTAGGCTGAAACCTCTAAGGTCAAGTTGGGATATTAATTTTAAGACAAACCTCTGGATCCAAGCCTCTCAAGACAATAAAAGGGGCTAAGCAGTCCATTACATCATCTCCAATCATTAAATCAGACCTGCAAAAGAAATGTATAAACATAGCAATATTAGATTATTAGGACTACCTTAATCAACTCAATTCAATAAGTTAAGAGGACACAAAAAAGCTTTTAAATATATTCTGAAACTATGTCAGAAGTCATTGCTGTTTTTTGTTATGCTATTTATGAATTCAGTGTTGCTTTCCCCTTTCCCCCATGTGTCCATTTATAGGTACTGAATAAAATTTCAAAAGATGTGGCATGCAACATTTATCATCGGAGAAAAATTTAAAAAGAAACTAGAGGTTCTTTAGGTTAAAAAAATAATAAGCCTTATTGATTTTTAATTTCACCTTAATTGCTATCAGTTATGTTTGCTTAGTTGTGAATCTTATCTAACTAATATTGTAAATTCAGAAATTATTGCGAGGTTTTTATTAATGTGAATAATGCGACTAGGTGAGTATCGCAATAATAAGAACTCGCATTTTGATAACTAAAACATAGATCTGTATGTAGATTTTTCTGAAATCCCAATAATTAAAATCGCATTCTTGTCTATTTTTGAAAAATCGCAATAATAAATGCACGCAATAATTTCTGAATTTACAGTATAGCATCACATCAATCTGGATGAATACAGATCCTGTATCTAAGCTTTGCTTACAAGGATCTGACAACAATACGTTTTACTTTCTGTTCTGGTAATTATTACATCAGCCAATGAAATTCCTGCCTATAAAATTTGGAAGGGGTGTATCATTATGACAAAACCAGAGGATCCCGAAAGGTCTTTAAAACAGTAGAATGGAAAAGTTTTCAGATCCTTGCAAGCAATGAGTGGACTTAGGATCTGTATTTAATCAGATTGTCATCACATTACCATGATGCTAAAAGGCCCTAAGGCAAGCACTATGCTAACCAAAATGTCACTTACTTGATACAAATATTAGACACAGAAATAGATAAAGGTGTAATTGATCTTAGTCCATTACATATGAGGTAGTCCATAAAGAATGTTCTGTTTGTAGAAAACTGTAAGTTGTCCATCTTTACAGTCATTTTCTCACCTGAAATAAAGAGATCAAATTTACAATTGCTCTGTCAAAACATATCACATTTTATTCAAGTGCCACAAAGTTAATTTTCAATTTGTTTAGTTCTGTAAATTGATGGAAGAGAAATGATATGGTGTATTAAAAATGAGTCTTAAGTAACCAAGAGGACATTGAAAACTTATGTTCTATAACAAATTTTCTAAGCAAAAATATTATTGAGGGTATATGCATATTTAAAAAAAACACAACTTTTACAAAATTTATCCGGAACAACTAAGGGTTGTTAAATAATTGATTGTATGAGGGGTGGGAAGGCACTTTAATTAAAATTTGATGGATGATGATTGTTTTTGAAATATAGCCTGAACAATTAAAGGAAACAATCACATTTTTATGCATGGTGTAAAATAAAAAAAGAGCTTTCAGACCGCCTAAATATTTATTTCTGGAACAACCCCAAGACGAATATTTCATTCATCTAACACCATGATGGTGATTATTTTTGAAATATAGCCCAAATAATTTTAGGGAGTAATCAATTAAAATTCTATGCATGGTGGTGTTAAATAAAAAGAACTTTCTGACCACCTTAATATTTATTTCTTGAACAACCCCAGACAAATATTTCATTCATCAAACACCATGATAATGATTATTTTTGAAAGATAGCCTGAATAATTTTAGGGAGTAATCAATTAAAATTATTTTAAGCATGGTGGCATAAAATAAAAAGCTTTCCAACTCCCCTGTACCCTTTTTTCAGGAATAGCCCTAAGGCAAAATTTCCATTCAGGGCTATTCTAGAAATAAATGTAGGGGGGAAAGGGGGGTAAGAAGGCACTTTTTATTTAAACCCGTCATGCATAACATTTTAATTGATTATTTCCAATAATTGTTAAGGCTACCTGTCTAAATTAACCCCCACACATCAAATTTTAATAAAAATGCCTTCCCACCCCTCCATTCAATTAATTCTGGAAAAGCCCTGACATTAAACACTATGATTATCTACCTTTAGGAATGTATATAGAGAATGTGGAATTATCTACCTTTAGGAATGTATATAGAGAATGTGGAATTTTTCACCATCTCATGACACAGCAGATCTTCCAACATCTTTGGCAAAATTTCATCTGTCAAACGACTTCTTTTCACACCTAAAATATATTAAATCATTACCTCTTTTCACACCTAAAATGTATTATAAAATCATTACTTCTTTTCCAACCAAAAATATATTAAATTTATAGATGCATTGCTTTACTTTAATTTTGCAAAATATTTTAAATCCTGATATTTTATTTTCAAAAGGTATGGATTTTTTTTTCTAGCAAAATGAAACATGTAATTTTTACAACTATGGCTTGTAACGGAAAAGCACTTACAATGTACTTCCATTTTATTACATGAATCAAATTCTAAGTAAATTTAAGATAGATGAGTGAAACTATATATAATTTTTTTTGTAGGTCAAGTGGGGTATTTTTGTTTACTTAATGTCCCAATTGTTTTTTACAGAATTGGAACTTTTATTTCATAGGCAATCATGAACTACAAGCATTGTATACACACAAACTTGCTATAAAGCGAAAACTTCCCTTGTATAGCTGTGGTTATACCTATGCATTTTGAACATCAATTTAAAAGTCATCTCATTTTATAATATAAGGTCAGGTTTCTCTGATCCCATGGGTGACCTTTATATACTAGTTTGACCTTATGTTAAAACTCAGTATTACTTTGCTTATTGTTGGTTGATGTAATTCCTTTTTATCTATTATTCAATGATTTTGGTTTATAATATGCCAAAATGTATCATTATATTTTTTCCAAACATAACTATTTTTGGTTTGCCACAGATAGATGTTTTCTGGTTTTTGGTGTACATGTAATTGAGTTGCTGTTATATCAACAGTTGTCTGCCAAAATTGAAGCTCTTATAAAAATCGTTACCAGCATTTTTGACTATTGTTTTCACTAAATTCTTTGTTTTTTGTTGTGATTTCTTTAATGACAAAATAGGCCACATCTGTACAATCAGCTTGCAGAATGTTCCATCTATAAAATAAGTAAATACTATTTTATTTAAACATCTACACAGAAGAAAAAAAGACTAACATTATCCATCTAGGACCCAATTTTCCACAATATGAAAGATAAGCACTAGGAACTTATTAGCTAAAATTTTATGGCCAAACTTTAGTAGACTAGGTTTCTGGGCCTCTGCTAATCTTTTTCCCAGTTATATCTGGTCTTTAAAAAATCTAATTTCAGTGTACCCTACATGTATATCCCCTAAAACCATTTATATCTATTTTAATTTTTAAAATCATTCTGATAATTCAATTCTGTTTTAACTAAACATGCTAAAAGCAAACTTATTAATTCTTACTATCAAATACAATAACGAATACTCTAGTATTATCTCAATCTAATTAAAATTCGTAAGGGTTCCGCGGAACCCAGTGTCTCGCCTACTTTTTCTGTTAATCGCAGGCTCAACAAAAATCAGGAAGTAAATCAATAAAAATATTCCTCTTGATACTGTCTTTTGATTGTAAGAAGCTTCTGTCCAAGTTCGGTAAAAATCCAGGATAGTTTATGAATCTAATAAATGTTTAAAAACTTTAACTGCAGACTGAATGTAATGTTAACTGGAAGAAAACAAAATTTCCTTCTGGATACTACCATTTGATCATAAACAAGCTTCTGTCCAAGTTTGGTACAAATCCAAAATAGTATAAGAAAGTTATTAAAATTTTAAAAACTTTAACCACAGAGTGAATGTGTTGTTTCCTGGCAGAAAATCTAAGTCCATTTAAAAGTAAAATACAGAAAAAATGAATTTATTTTTTTACAAAATGTCCTTCTAGATACTAGCTTTTGATCATAAACAAGCTTCTGTCCAAGTTTGGTACAAATCCAGGATAGTTTAAGAAAGTTATTAAAATTTTAAAAACTTTAACCACAGAGTGAATGTGTTGTTTCCTGACAGAAAATCTAAGTCCATTTAAAAGTAAAATAAGGAAAAAATGGATTTATTTTTTTACAAAATTTACTTCTGGATACTATCTTATGATCATAAACAAGCTTCTGTCCAAGTTTGGTACAAATCCAGGATAGTTTAAGAAAGTTATTAAAATTTTAAAAACTTTAACTACAGAGTGAATGTAATATTTCCCGGCAGAAAAACTAAGTCCATTTATAAGTAAAATACGGAAAAAATGGAATTTTATTTTTACAAAATTTACTTCTGGATACTATCTTATGATCATAAACAAGCTTCTATCCAAGTTTGGTAGAAATCCAGGATAGTTTAAGAAAGTTATTAAAATTTCAAAAACTTTAACCACAGAGTGAATATTTGTGGACGCCGCCGACGACAACGACGCCGACGGAATGTAGGATCGCTATGTCTCGCTTTTTCGACTAAAGTCGAAGGCTCGACAAAAAATGAATCTCTCATTGAATTGATCCTGATTTTTGTTATGTTTCGTGGGAGATGGGAGCGATGCAAGATTGGTTTTTAATTAGATTGGGATTTTCTGTGAAACTGTTGATTGTACCTTATCATGCTTATAGAATAGATTTTTTTAATATTTATTAAGATAATGATATCAACTTTTTTGAAACTTTTTCAAGGAACTTACTCAATTTAAGTCCTCTGAAGTCAATAGATTTCAGTTTACAATATTTAGTTCTGTTGATCACACCTCTGAACACTACCAAATCATGCCCCATTTCCTCTTCAAAAATATCATGATGCTTGGGTGGTAATATATCCTTAAAACTGAAATAGAAGTAACTTCAATGTATTTTGCATCTCACAGTAAAAAAAAACTGTACAGCTGCAGTAAAGTGTAAACAGCTGAATAACCATAGTACATGAACAATTGTAGTAAAATATGAACAGTAAAAGATATATTAGAACAACTATAGTAAAATATGAACAGCTGAAGTAATATGTGTACAACTGAAGTAATATGTGTACAACTGAAGTAATATGTGTACAACTGAAGTAATATGTGTACAACTGAAGTAATATTTGTACAACTGAAGTAATAAACTGAAGTAATATGTGTACAACTTAAGTAAAATGTAAGAAGTTTAACTACTAAAGAAGATATATGTGTGTAACTGAAGTAAAATGTGAGAACCTCTAAAGAGTTATGTGTACAACTGAAATAAAACAATTACAGCTAAAATTATATGTTTCCATTTTAGTCAAAAGTGAATGCCTAAGTAATATGTTTACAATAGTAATAACATGTGAACAGTTTGGAGGCCAAATCAAACTGGGAGTTGAAGAGCTTTAAAAACCCAATATTCTGAAAAGTTGTGCCACATATGATTGATTGATTGGTGATTAGTTTACGCCGCGTGCCAAATATGACTAAGGCAATCTATGTCTAGGGGTAGAAAAACCATGCGAGTCAGATAATTAAACTAGATAAACCTTGGAATTTTATTTAGTTAATTAATTATTTTATTGAAACATAGCAGTAAGCTATCATTATAATTACCTGCTAATCCATTTATATTTGGAATGCCTTTTTTTTCCTCTAAATTTATGTGCACATCTTTTTATGGACTGTAAACTATGTTCTCTATTGACTCATCATAGTGGGTTTTTTTTTTAATTTTTTTTATAATGCACAACATATTTCATAGAAGAGATAAATATTATTATATAAAAATAAGAAGATGTGGTATGATTGCAAACGAGACAACTCTCCACAGGAGACCAAATGACACAGAAATTAACAACTAAGAATTTAAGTACTACAAATATATCAAGCTTGGCCAGATTTGGTACAACTTCTTGTAAAAATGCTTTTCAAAGCTTTTCATGATATGGCATTCTCACTGTTTTGATTTGAGTAGCACTGATGTATCTGATGTAGATATCTTACTTACATTATTACAAGCCTAGTATGATTTTAGTAGCACTGATGTATCTGATGTAGATATCTTGCTTACATTATTACAAGCCTATTATCTTTGATGAGTTCTTTATGTGTGCAAACTTTTCTAGAGATAGTTCTAACATAAATCAGGTAAATTGTATCTGAAGGTCAAGAGGTCAACTCCCAAGAACAGTAACATGTGACAGTGCTTGTTTGTAACCTTGATTTGTTGCATTCTAATCAATTTACCAGATTTGAACTACTGTCCCCTTTTATAAATGTCAACAAAAAAGCAACCCAACAACACAAGTTTGACAAACCTACCATAATTCTGTATGTGGCCAGTTTGATATGATAGCACTGATAGCATTAGGTTGTGCCTTCTCTATTGCTGCCCTGAGTAAATCTGCTGCTAAGTGTATTGGTACACAACGTATCGCATGATTGGTTAATCCATCACATCTATTGATCACTCGACAACTTATCTGTACCAATGAAATTGGTTTAATTATCTCTTTGACTGGTTCCTTAGGTTTGTTGAGGTTCAGTGTGTTATAGTTCACTTTGTCTAATGCCTTAAACATTGTCAATTTTCTGAAGAAAAAAAGAAAGATAAAATTGAATGATTACAGTAATATCCTTTTATGCAGAAGATTTGACATGTTAGAGCAATATTATACAATAAATTACATTGATCAGGTAGATGTTTGGTTTAATCACTTTTGAAAATCAAAGCATGTCTTTTTTTATATATACATGTACATGAGATATAAAATTGAGAATGGAAATGGGGAATATGTCAAAGAGACAACAACCCGACCAAAGAGCAGATAACAGCTGAAGGCCACCAATGGGTCCTCAATGCAGCGAGAAAATCCCACACCCGGAGGTGGTCCTCAGCTGGCCCCTAAATAAAATTGTATATTGGTTCAGTGAAAGTGGACGTCACACTAAACTCCAAAACATATGAACATTTTTGCTTATGCAATATAGCTGTTTTACTTTGTATAAAATTGAGAATGGAAATGGGGAATGTGTCAAAGAGACAACAACCCGACCATAGAACAGACAACAGCAGAAGGTCACCAACAGGTCTTCAATGCAGCGAGAAATTCCCGCACCCGGAGGCGTCCTTCAGCTGGCCCCTAAACAAATATATATACTAGTTCAGTGATAATGAACGCCATACTAAACTCCAAATTGTACATAAGAAACTAAAATTAAAAATAATACAAGACTAACAAAGGCTAGAGGCTCTTGACTTGGGACAGGCGCAAAAATGCGGCTGGGTTAAACATGTTTATGAGATCTCAACCCTCCCCCTATACCTCTAGCCAATGTAGAAAAGTATGTCTAATGTGTATGTTATATATGTCTTATATGTCTTAATATTGTATGTGTTGTAATTGTTATGAATGTCGGCAAAAAGCTCTACAGAGCTTATGTTTGTAATGTTTCATGTATCCCCGACTTGAAAAAAAATTTCTATTCTATTTTATTCAATCTTCAGTGCTGTGATCCAGCCATTTTTTAGTTACAGGTAGTCAGACATTTTTTTTTAATCTCATTTCAATATTTGTTTCTTTATACAAGCTTCTGTGAGACATTTACAGACAACCATTACAGCTAAAGTCTTGTGTTTAACACTCAAATCTTTTTACAGAGTAGAAACAAAGGGAGAATCTAAAATCCTAAGTTAAAAAAAAAAACAGACAACACAAGAATTGAACATCATTTTCAATATTATTTCACTAAAATATTACCAGTGTTATTTTTCCTTTTTGAAATCACCCCTTTTAGCTCATGAAACTCTCATAAATAAATGTACTTCTTCTAAGGTATTACTGACAATCAGAGTAATCAAAATCTTCTAAGGTATTACTGACAATCAGAGTAAATCAAAATCACTGATGGAAAGACAGGAAGAGTTGTGTGCATAATTTCAAATCATGTTCTCTGGCATAAAATTCAGAAAGATAATTGGTGTTTTTTCAGTTGATGAACAAGCTTGTCTCCCTAAATTTACTTGTAAATGGTTACTTTTGGGAGATTTCTATGTTTAAACATAGGTATGCAATTTTTCTAACTCATGTTATGATCATTTAATGATTTTTGATAAAAATTTGTGATACTGAAGATGAACAGTTTTATTTCATTTCCATAATGTTACTAAACAAATTGTATTCAATTGCCCAAAAGATGGACAATTTCTCAATATTGATACAAATTCTTTTGATATTTCAATTTTTAGAAGGGGCACTGATTTTTAATATCTTCTTATTTCAATTAAATAATTTTGACATGAATATTGAAAAAAGAAATCTTCAACGGAAGTTGTAGCATATTTTTTTTTTTAAAAGTTTGACTTGATAATTTCCAGAAAGAGGATTGAAAACACACTTTTTCGACAACAAAAATTAAATAACTAATTTCTTTTTCAATTGGTGTTCATTCTTTTCCCCCTGAATTCAAATACATGCACAAATACCTACATGTAGCACTGTTAAATAGCAATATAATGGGAAACACAAATAAATTTGATTGCAAAAAATGTCAGGTTAGATTTATATATATTTGTTTATTGTTTCAAGCAAATTAATTAAAATTGAAACTTAAATTAATCTAAATCATTGACTAATATCAGATGATTATAAAACTGATTTTACAACTAAATACACCCTGCTTGCAATTTTTTATACATATTTTGTTTTTTGTCTTTTCCTTTCAAAAAAATGCATCTTTTTAATACTTTATCATCTTTGAGACATAATTTACAGAATAATTTTATGTAGATCAAAGTGATTATAGGTATGCTATTGACATGATTCAGGTCAAAATTTGACAATAAATAGTGTATTAAGACATGTAAGATATAAATTGAGCTGTATAATAAAGGGTGTATTCAATTATGTCATACAAGGGATATTAACTGTGGTCAATTAAGATTGGCATTAAAGTGGAGGTGATTCCAATTAATACTACCACCTTTGAGTAAAATTGTTTGTAAATAATGGCAGTTGTGTATCAGTACTCTTACTTGCCTATGGAAAGAAATGGAATAATAGCATTTAAAACAAGAGGCTCGTGAGAGCCTGATATAGCTCACCTGTAAGTTCAGTTTCAGGCATTTGACTTATTTGATGATCTTACTTTGTTGAACAATTTTGTCATTTACACTTTCTCTCTTTCTTTAATGTTATTAAAAATAATACATAACCCAAAACTGTAAAATTTCCAAAAAATTAACTATTTCTGGACAGTAACCCAACAATAAGTTGTCCTATTGGTCTGAAGATTAAATGACAGGTCAATCTAAACCTGTTTAATACTTTCACCTATGTCAGTTTTGCTCTTACTGTTTTAGTTTTTGAGATGAAAGCCAAAAACTTCATTTTACCGCTATGTTCTATTTTACTAACCTGCTACCATGTTTTTGAATGGTTCAAATCCCTGAATACAATCTATAAACTAAATACCCTAAGGAAAATAAAGTTTTTAAGTATTTGGCCAAGTAGTTTCAGAGAAGAAGATTTTTGAAAAAGTAATTAAGACTTTCACAAAAAATGTAAAAAAAATGTTTTAAGAGCAATAACTCCTTAAGGGGTCAATTGACTATTTTGATCATGTGGACTTATTTGTAGATCTTACATAGCTGAACATTTATTGCCATTTATACTTTCTCTCTATCTATTATAATATTAAAGAAAATAACCAAAAACAGTAAAATTTAATAAAAATAAACTAGATCCAACAGTAACCCAACAATGGGCTGTCGAACTTGTTTGAAAATTTCATAACAGATAGATCATGACCCATTAATCACTTTAACTCCCTTTCACTTTTGCTCTAACTGCTGTAGTTTTTGAGATATAAGCCAAAAACTGTATTTGACCACTATGTTCTATTTTAAGCCATGACGGCCATGTTTGTTGATGGATCAAAACTTCGGATATAATTTATAAACTAGATACCCTAAGGAACATTCAGTTAAAGTTTGAAGGTATTTGGCACAATAGTTTCAGAGGAGAAGATTCTTGAAATAGTTTATGACGACAGACGACGATGACCAACGGATGCCAAGTGCTGGCATAAGCTCACATGGCCCTTTGGGCCAGGTGAGCTAAAAAGAGTGGGAATCAACTTTGATACTAATACATATCTTGTACCAAATTTTATTCAATAACTTACACTTGCATAAGATACTGATAAAAATACTTTCATAATTCTTATCAACTGATTAAATTTGATATATATTACTTTTTTATTTTAATTCATAAATAGTAATTTATCATAAATTTTGATTTTATACAAAGGAACTATATATGCAAGTGTATATTGAAAATAAAGTAGCTGTTCAACTGATATTTTTTTAATTTAAGGACAAATAACTTGTCAAAAGTTGGCAGTAGATGATTAAAATGGTGTATAAAGTTTCTGCAAGTCATAAAAACACATAATTAGTTTCATTATATGTCTTCAACTAAGAATTCTGCACCATCTCAAAATCTGGAGTGATCACATAGATCCAGCATGGCTGAATCAAAAACTGATATTCACTGAGGCCAATGGCCGGAGTGAATATCAGCTTTTCAAAAGTAAATAAAACCAAATATCTACCGAAACAAAAGACAGAAATTGTTTTTTTCTATATTCAAACATTTTACCATAACACTACATGTACATGATGTAAAAACATGCAAAGTTTAGCGCTATGAATATCCCTTAAGGCTTTCTTCAGGTAAATATGCTGCTTTATTCAAAATCCAATTCAAATAGAAAAATATACTTAAATGAAAGAACCTTTGTGAGCAGGCTCACATACCCCATGCCCCCACATTGTCACTGGGTTAACACTATCTCACCAGATTCCTGAGTTCAAAGACTCACAACTCCTACATACTTTCTTGTGGATATGCACATTGGCAATCATACCACATCTTCTTATTTTTATATTTACATCTTCATAGAATGTATCATCTACAAAGTTTCAAGAAATTCTGTTGTGTGGTTTCAAAGGAGTTGTGATGATAAAAACTATTGCAGTAGTATATTTAGGCCAAAAATTTAAATTCAAAGGGCATAACTGTTAGAAAAAAAATTGAATAATAATTTCCTGTTGATATGCACATCTACATGCTGAGTATGTCCTTATTATCTACAAAGTTTCATGAAATTCTGTAGTGTGGTTTCAGAGGAGTTGTGATGCTGTGTGGGGTATAATTATACCAATATGGAATAAATCATTTTATTATTGTGCTATTTTAGTCATGTTAGTCAATGTTAGTACATGAATAACAGTTAGTATTTGTGGAGTTATAAGAATAAAGAATCAAATGATGTACTGGTATGATTAATCTGAATGAAAACTTTGTACGGATGCCATTTGCATGCTGAACAAATAATGTACAAACAACACCATGTACCATAAACACTACTATAAACTACACCATAAATGCTCTCTCAGCATACATGGTATTGTTTAGCATACATCATTTCGTCTAGAGTACATGGTATATATAAGAATTAATCGTTTTTCTATTTGAATTTGCCAAAATGTTTTGCTTTTGGTAATCACACTTAAGAAAATTTGTGATCTAACTTATAAATACAACCAATCAACCGAACTGTAAGATCAACAATACCATAGACCATACCTTATACAAATGCTGAACAATATCATATTGATAGATTGGTGTTTAACACCACTTTCAGCACTAATTTGCTATTTCGTGTCTGTTAATTTTTATTGGTGGAGGAAGACGCAGTCCTATGAGATAACCACACACCTTTGGTAGGAAAACTGACAATCCTTGTTAATTAAGATTGGAGTCTAGTGCACCTGCCACATGCAGGATTCAAACTCACAACCTCAGTGTTGACAGGCTAGTGATACAGTAGTTAAGGCTAAACTGAGACACTCTGCCACCAAGGCCCCAGAACAATACCATAAACTATCCACTAAACAAAACATTTATTGATTAGATATATCATATGCTAAACGATACTATATACCATACGCTAAACGATAACATTTACTATATGCTAAATGAATGATCATCATTATGATGCGAGGATGATGACCGAACCTTGAATGAATACTATACATGAATGTTGTAATGACCATACCTGAACGCTATGCAGATGATGTTCGAACAATGTAAAAGTGTGAACCTTTAAGTTATTAGTCGTTAAAGGGTCTTTACAAATGTAAATACATGTACTTTTCTATTAGTATTACTTCCAAATGTCAGGTTTACCAGAGAAGCAGTGAATACTCATTCGAGATTTTGATTTTACCCAACCTGGGAGCAGTCCAGAGGCCTCCGGTACTCGAGACGATCATGCTCCCACAAGTTGTGTTGGATCTAACACGACAACAACAAAATTGAAAGAAGGAAAACAATGTGAAAATTCAGTCATAAATTTCTCGATTGGAATTACCAAGTTTAAATCAAAAGTGAGAGTGCAAATACACTAAAAATGACAGTCATGGTAATTAGAAGGTAAACATTGAAACATGAGACAGGAAGACATATTTCTTTACGTAGAACAAAAGCAGAATTACGGGAAAATTAGTCTTTATCTGCTACATTGTCTTTCCCATCACTTGTTAATTTCGTAAGATTAAATTGGAAAACGAATTATATTATTTATTAGAAGTTTTTACGGAAACATAAAGTACCTTAGTGAAAAATTTAGTATATAATGAAAAAATGTATATTAAAAATTTCAAAGTGAGAAAAAAATTACAAAAGTAAAAGACTGATTAGATTCGTTTCTTAAAGTAGTTTGAAAAATGAACCATCGCCGAAGAGAGAGAAGTGGTGTGAGGAAAAACCAATGTTTTGACGCTATCTCTCATTTCAAATCTTAAATGAGTCGACAGGCGATAAATCCACTCTCATATCCTCTTAAAAACCAACAGTTTTGATAATCGGCTACCTGAAATGTATGCAAAACAGTATTCTCGTAATTAGATAGTACGCATGCTCATACTTACTTTCGGTTTCACTATTTTCCAGATAATGATCAGGTAGCTGAGGATCTTCTCTACATTCGTTATGTCGGAATGCCCTACATGTCTTTAATCACAGTAATACTTACATTTAATTGAATTTTTCATAGAATTTATAAAGGAAGTTAAAAAATTATAAGACATGAAATCTTATTGATTTCTAAAGACTAAAACTTTCCCTGTATCCAAGTTGTACTGCTGGAAACAATTCACTACAACATTCAGTTCCAAAAAATTAAAAAAACGGCACCAGTTTTGGACAATTAGGGACCAGGACTAATTGGCACCTTGTATTTTGTTGTTTTCTAGACTGTTACATCTAAGACTAATTCCCATGTAGAGTTGCTTCCCCTTAGGCCTTACATTGTAGATATATAACTGCTCTAGGATCCATTACCTGAGCTTGTTGAGTACTCCTGGGGCGTGTTTTATTGGTCTCTTCTGCACATCTCCAGAATGTCTTCTGGTGAAGAGTCCAAAAAAATGAATCTGGACCTCTTCTGGAGATATTCTACGGAAGATCAATAAAACAAAAATTCAATTTGCCGTCGAATTTATCAGATTTTTGTTATTTTGAATGACATAAATGAAGTTTACGATGATTTTATAGAAAATTAAAATACATCCGGTAGACATGACTGTAAAAGTGTGCTCTGTTCGTGACATTTTTCTTTGTTCTTTCCTCTAAATCAATTTTGCTAGACAAATCTGGCTTAAACCCCCATTATTTGATTTTTAAGAATAATCTTAAACTGCACAAAAATTCGTCAATGTTTGTCTCGAATATGATCAAAAAGGACATCTTGTCTATCCAATTTTTTTAAAGTAACCAAACTGGATTATTTTTGTATAAAGCAAAGATATCGGAAAGTTCTCGAAATCATTTTTCTCTCGTGGTCCTTGAAGAAAATCTTCTGGTCCTAACTATTCTTTCTATTGCAAAATTTCGATGGTCTAAACCTTCGGACCACCACTTTTCAAAAATTTTCATTGTATATGTATCAATATGCAAGTATACAATGTATACCAGACATTTCTCAGACTGTTTTTTTTTCTTTTTTATTTTTAATAAATCCGTTGGTTGTGTACTGATTGATACTTCAGTCTGGGAGAACAAGATTTATTTCAATATAAGTAGTTATTAGCTTTGAACAAACTTCCAGTAATTGCAAATACTTTTATTTCGGTGCTTTGTGTCTATTGTCGTCATGTAAGTTTTTTTTTGTTTTTTTAGGCAGTTAAGCTGCCTTATGCGAGCACCCTAGATTTGTGTTCTACCCAATAGATGCTGAAATACGTGCCATTGTTATTATCTAGCTGGCTATTATGTTATTTATAACTAATTGGACATTTTTTTAATACTTTTATTTCTGGGATACAAAAAATATGACCAGAAAAACCTTAAATGATCGTCGAACTACCCAAAACTTTTGAAGATGCACATAGGATGTAGTGCTCAATAGAAATCCGTACGTAGTTTATTATCCCCTGTGCTTTTGGCTACGATGTCAAAGAACAATTGTATGAAATATTTCATCGCCGAAAATCGGTAATTACAAGTCGTTTATATTTCCCAAATAGCAAAAAGAGCAGGAATATTGTTCATGTACAACAAATCTCTATGATAGAGGAAATAAAGTTATATAAGTGGGCGGTAATTTTTAACTTTTCTTGCCAAATAAGGTTGTTGTTATTTTATGAATGAAACGAGGTCATGAAACAGATGCGGAAATCGACGTTAATGGGATTTTTTAAGTAATGTGGACAACTCGTCCCCGAGACAAGTCGGACCGAATCCACTCAAACCGTCTAAGAAGACAACTTTGACCGTTTGTCAGATTTACTTAGGGTTTCATAAAATATTAGACTAACATGTCTAGCGGAGCCAATAATCTTTTGTTTGTGCATTGGGGTCTATTTAGGGGTATTTGGAGGGGCCTGAAGAAGGGAGGGGTTTACTATAGAACCCTATGGGATTTTATTTTATTAAATTTTCAAATGAATATTTCTCGAAAACAGTAAGTGATAGACACATGCAGTCTTCAGTAATGAGAACAGGACAATAAAAAAAATCAACCAAAATTTCGGGTGAGTCCCTGGGGGTCATCCCAACCCCCGTCAATTTGAAAATGTACCTTTATCTTGTAAACCGTCGAGATTCCCACCCCTAAATAATATATATACTTGTATGGGACAATAAAAGAAATCAAATGAAAATAATTTGGGGGAGTCCCCGGTGTTGTCCCACCCCCTCTTGTTTGAGAACTTGGAAATGGTCGAGATCCCCACCCCTAAACCATATATAATCATGTATGGGACATTAAAACAAATCAAATGAAATATAGGGGGAGTCCCTGGGGTCACCCCGTCCCTTCCTGTTTGAGAACTTGTAAACGGTCGAGATCCCCTCCCCTAAACCATATATATTCATGTATGGAACAATATAACAAATCAAATGAAATATATGGGGAGTCCCTTGGGTCACCCCAACCCCTCTTGTTTGAGAACTTGGAAATAGTTGAGATCCCCACCCCTAAACCATATACATTCATGTATGGGACAATAAAACAAATCAAATGAAATATAGGGGGAGTCCCTGGGGACACCCCACCCCCTCCTGTTTGAGAACTTGTAAACAGTCAAGATCCCCACCTCTTAACCATATATATTCATGTATGGGACAATATAACAAATCAAATGAAATATATGGGGAGTTCCTCGGGTCACCCCACCCCCTTCTGCTTGAGAACTTGGAAATGGTCGAGATCCCCACCCCTAAACCATATATATTCATGTATGGGACAATAAAACAAATCAAATGAAATATAGGGGGAGTCCATGGGGACACCCCACCCCCTCTTGTTTGAGAACTTGTAAACAGTCAAGATCCCCACCCCTTAACCATATAAATTCATGTATGGGACAATATAACAAATCAAATGAAATATATGGGGAGTCCCTGGGGTCACCCCATCCCCTCCTGTTTGAGAACTTGTAAACGGTCGAGATACCCACACCTAAACCATATTTATTCCTGTTCATCATTTCAAAAAGATTTGAATGACATACAGGGTCAATCTCCTATGTGTCACATATGCATATCACTTTACTAGACCAAACCAATATGAACTGGACTTTGCCCAATGTCAGGAGACCATGGGAATGACGAATTATGGGGGCTTTGTTTGGGAGACTTCGTAACGGCATCCTGTTACAATTATTTCTTGTTTATTATAAAATTTTATTGATGCAAAAAATGAGTCTAGGTTGATTGAATTTACTTTAATTATTTATTAAATTATTTCTGGGCCTATAATAATTTTCATTTATGGCTCATTTTAAAGAAAACATATAAATCTTTCAAGCAGTGTAAAGCCCGAGAATGTTTGACCTACTGTTTTATAATCACCTGTCATTTTATTTTAAACTTGGTATGGAGTAACATCATGCACTTGGGGGTGAAGATGGGGGTCATTTACATTGATATATGAGTTGCTTTTGAAAACCTTGATGAAATATTAATTAATTTGCCATAAATAATCAATTCATTTAATGAACATAAATAATGAACATAAATGTACAATATACGAATGTTTAATGTTTGTTCTTTCAAATCTTAAAAAAAAATTGAAGCAACACTGCCACAGTTTTCATAATTACGTTTGCCTTGATTTTTGGTTAACTGCCTTAACTGCGCTTACAGTGCTTTGATTTGTGTCTCGTACCGATCTTTTGAGTTAATCTAATTGCAGTTGATTTGTGCAGGTTATTCTTATATTGTACTGTTACACCATTGTCCCAGCTTCGGGAAGGGTTGAGCGCTCACAAACATGTTCTTGTACTGTTACACCACTGTCCCAGGTTAGGGGGCGGGTTGGGCCGGATCTCGCTAACATGTTTAACCCCGCCACATTCTGTATGTATGTGCTTGTCCCAAGTCAGGAGCCTGTAATTTAATGGTTGTCGTTTGTTGCTGTGTTACATATTTGTTTTTCGTTCATTTTTTTGTACATTAATCAGACCGTTAGTTTTCTCGTTTGAATTGTTTTACATTTGTGATTGCGGAGCCTTTTATATCTGACTATGCATTATGGGCATTGCTTATTATTGAAGGCCGTACGGTGACCTACAGCTGTTAATTGCTGTGTCATTTGGTCTCTTGTCTCATTGGCAATCTTCGTTTTTATATCAACCCTGCCATATTCTTTGTGTGCCTATCCCAAGTCAGGAGCCTATAGCTTAGTGGTTGTCGTTGGTTCATGCCTCGACTCATATTTGATATTTTGTAAATTATTTTGTTATGTATAATTAGGCCGTTAGTTTTTTCGTTTGAATTGTTTCTCACACTTTTCACGTCGGGCCTTTTATAGACGACTTTTAATACAGTATCGGGTTTTGTCATTGTTGAAGGCCTTAATTACGATTGCCTATAATTTCTTACATCCACTTCATATTTGAACTCCGGTGGATAGTTGCCTCATTAGCAATCATACATCTCTTCGTTTTTATATTATATACCCGACTTTTAAACTCGTGTTTTCCTGAACCGAGTCCTGAACAGGCATGACATATTTGTCACTGGGCGTTAAAAATTAGCAACAAACAATCAATCAATTTAACCTTGTGTTAAATAAGAAGAAAAACCATTTGATATTTATTCATTTATTGGGGTGGGGGACAGGAGGATTTCATATATGAATATGGTTGCCTGGTAAGAGCTGAATAATAGGCATAATTAGCGACAGATTAAAAAAGTTAATAATGCCCTCTTCCCTTCCCCATCCTTCATCTATAAATTTAAACTGACCACCACGGAATAGCCCAACGTAGTGTTGAAAGTAGCGTTTAACACCAATCAATCAAAATTCCTTCCCTAGAATATCAAATAGTCGTCCCTGAACTGTTATTGTCCGTGTAGTTCTTATATTTATCCAGCTTATCGTCCTACAGGGATGTCCTACTAAGACTGTCATACCATAAACACGTTTATAACACAGCTCACATTCTAATATATCTGCATTCATAAATTTATTAATGTCATTTAGACTAAACGACGCCATGTTTGTTATGTGCCTCTGCCGTCTAAACTACCTATCAAAAAAGAAGAGGTGGAAGAGAGCCAGAAGATCTTCCCTATTCAAAAAAACAGAAGTGGACCTCTTCTGGCTCACTACCGAAGAACAAAAAAACACGCCCCTGTAGTTCAGTTGGTAGAGCTGTTGTTTACTGTGGCAGTGCTAGGGGCTCTGGATCAAATCTTGGCTGGTACAGTAAAAAAAATTGAAAAGGATATCATGCTCTCCTGTTTCAATATTTATTATTAAAGTTAATTACTGTTTGAATATTGAATAATTGAAATAAATGGTGTCAATTTGTCTTTGTGCTGAAAAGTCTTCCAGAGACATGTGCCAATTTGTCCTAAAACTGTATTCTCTAAATTCTACAGCCATAGATCACTGACAAGTTGTATTTCATAAGAATTCAAGTTGTATTTCAAAAGAATTCCTTGACAAACAGTCCAGAGTCAAAATGTTAAATGTTGTTTAACTTTTTCAGAATCTTAATTATGTTACAGTCCCATTTTAATAGCATAAAACTGCTTAGTCAGAAATTTTCAAATATGATTTTTTAACAAATGTATTGGTGGTGGTGGGAGGGTTGAGGAGTATATAACCAATATTGTTTGAGGAAAACGTCTAACCAGAAATTGCAAGTGCCAAAACAGAGTTGTTTAAGAAATCGTTTATATATTCAGGATCTTCATATGAAATAACTTAAAATATCAACCTCAAGTACGAGTTCAACTAAGGATTCTGCACCAACTCAAAATCTCATATGCATATTTATATTTGACATAATTTCTCTTTTTGGTGCTACTTCATTTTATATATTGAAAAATAGATTGTTTTTTAATGTACAGTTGTAGCATGATCAACATCTCAAAAAACTCTGCTGAAATCAGTGCTAGATGTCTTGAATTTTCAGTGAGGTGACAGTTTTTGCTCTGATCTGAAAGCCTCATTGTGACTGAGATGAAAAACAGTAATAAGGATAAGCTTTTGAATGACATTATGTTCATGCAGGCATATTGATTTTCTATCATGAATTAGTACAACATGCTCTGTCTTTTCAATTTGCATGATTTTCTCACAGCTGGATTATTGCATTCACTCTCTGTGGTTTTTTTTGGGTAAAACAAATGATGTTAGCACACCAGTCATGCATGCCAGTTCAAATTGATGGCAAAACATTTTGAATTTTGTTGTAATATACAAAATGTAGATGTGTGCATTATCTAAACTTGATGTAGAAATAATGAAATGTGGTCTGATTGCCAATGAAACAACTATCTACCAGAGACCAGAGGATGGGGATGTAAGCAACTTTAGGTCACTGTACAGATTTTATCAATGAGTAAAACCCATACCATATAGTATGGCAAACCCTCCTAAATTGGGTTAGTTTTCATTACCGGTATACATTTCTTATCAATTTTCCAGAAATCAAAATTATTCCAGATTCAAATAATTCCTTGTTTAAGCTATAAAATGCCCTGACAAGACAAAATGTGACACTTCTTCAAACCAAATTTACCATCATAATAATTTTTCACTCCAATGACTGGCATTAACTAAGATATCAGATTTAAAATTGCCTTCACATGCTACATGTCAGACCTTTGCATATAAGTTCAATTTCACACCCTCTAGGTTCAATTTAAGGATGCGGCAGACATTGTAACAAGTGTAGATCTTCGATGATTGTGGTGGATTGGGAACACATGATTTCTTCTTGGTTATATCATATTAGAACTTGCACATCTTAGCTAGCCAAGGGTTATGGTCTAGCCACTGGAGGGGGACAGGTCGTAACCCTTGGCTAGTGAAGATGGAACTTCCATGACTCATTTAGATTTGCTTTAAACTTTCAACTCATTTATCATATTTATTGAGCTGTTGAGCTTGACAAAATTTCTATTGATTTAGCAGAATTGATTCATATTAACTCTTTTTAAAAATATGTATGTATAATATATCTGTTATTTTTACAGTTACATCAGATCTGTAATTAACCACAATGAGTAGTAGAGCGAGGGAGAGGAGAAGATGTTTGGAAGTATTGGGAGTACAAGAAGATGCTACAGATGGTAAATTATGGTGTTTTACATAGAATAAAACTATCTTGAATATAAATCATCTTGAATACTGTAAATTCAGAAATTAATGTGTGCATTTATTTTTGTAATATTAGAAGAATGAAAAAAATGCAAGATTAATTATTGCAATTTCAAGAAGATCTGCATACAGATATCAGAATGCAAGTTCTTATTATTGAGAATCTCAACCAATCGCATTATCACATTAAGGTTCCACTAAAGTCAAAATATAGGACACTTCATAAACATCTAAACTTTGCCTGTATTTTTCAACCTATAATGAGTAAAGTCCTAAACTATGAGAACATATGTTCATTTAAACATACTTAACATATACACACTGTGTAAATTGTAAATAAACTTGAAATTGTTATGCTGTGGCCAAACCGGTCCTTTGGGTGAACACTAAATTTTCAAAAAAATCTAGAGGCCTGCGAGACGACTTAATTTGCTTAAAATTGGTATGGACGCATATTAAATTTTACGGTAATATTGTACTTAAAGCGCAGAAATCACTATGTGATCCGTGTAAACTCATTGAACCTTTAAACAAACTTATTAGTAAAGGTTATCTTACCAATGTTGTAATTAGATCTTTGAATATAGTTTACATTGGCACTAATATCGATTTTGTCATCAACAAATTAGAACATAACTAAATTTGTATTCTTTTCAAACAGGATGTATAAACACACACCCACGTTCGTTTTGATCTATAAAGAGGTTAAACTCCTAATTATCCTACTGTCTGTCGATACATTTATTTTTGGCATTGCACTAGTCATGTCTTCTTTGACTGTCCATGACGTTAAAATACTAAATTCCTGGGATGTGTTTAGTTGATTTTAGTCTCTGATGCATGATTTTTTATTATTAATTGTTTTGGCTTTTAACTAGCTGTCACATGCTGTCAGTAACTGCGAGTACTCTCTAATCGTACTTTCTTGTTCATTTGACCTGTTGATACTAATTGTATTGCTTTTTTGTTATTTAATGTTATTCAGGGTTATATCTGGTCTATATACCAGCTTTTATAAGTGTTTGGTATTACTATAAATTTTCACTTCGTACTATGAACATCAAAATTATTTATTTTATAAAAATATTTCCTTTCTTTATTGGAACTGTATACGTATACCTAACAACAAAATTATTTTCATTTACCTGTGTTTAAAGTTATTGCAAACGGCTGATATTTTTGTTCGAGCAGATTGTTTTTCTTTAATTGTTTAACATTTCATACCGATATAACATGTTACTTTTATTATTCTTCCCTTAGTTTATTTATTTTGTATTTACATTGTATCATAGGTCAAATTTATTTGTTCAGTGTATGTTCAATGGTGTTAATATATCCTTTGATTGAGTTAAGCTATTTCAGTTGATATTTTATAGTGTGTCTTTCTATGTTGTGATGTTACACTATTGTTTCAGAAAAAGGGTGAAGGTTTGGTACCATTAAAACGTTTAAACCCGCTGCATTTGTTTGCACCTGTCCTAAGTCAGGAATCTGATGTTCAGTAGTTGTCGTTTGTTGATGTGGTTCACAAGTGTTTCTCGTTTCTCGTTTTTTATATAGATTAGACCGTTGGTTTTCCCGTTTGAATGGTTTTACACTAGTAATTTTGGGGGCCCTTTATAGCTTACTGTTTGGTGTGAGCCAAAGCTCCGTGTTGAAGACCGTACTGTGACCTATAATGGTTTACTTTTATAAATTTTGACTTGGATGGAGAGTTGTCTCATTGGCACTCATACCACATCTTCTTATATCTATATAAGTATAATACAGAAAAAATAAGGTATACAGTAAAACTTCTGGAAAATCCACAAAGGCTCAGACCAAATGCAAAAAAGAATTCTTCATCTCGACACTAAATGAATATTTGTTTGATTTTTTTAGAGATTTATGTATTTGCTGTTTATGAGTTATGGTCTTTTATTGATTGAAAATTGCTTTTCATGTTGTTCTGTGTATTAACTTGTGATCCATTAGAAAATTATTTTCAAATTCTAAAATGTTGTTTCTGATGACAACTTTGCTCATTATTGAAAGATTCAATAATTGCAGATCAAATATTTACTTAATTTATTTAATTAACTACAAGTACATGCAAATTTTTATATTATCTACCCTTTCTCGTAGTCAAAGTACATAAATGTTCTCATACCATCTGCAACCTTCTTGAAGTCAAAACACATGAATCCCCTTCCCTCAAATATATTGTTAATTTGTTCTTGACACGAATATGCTTAAGATATTTTGCCACTAAACATTTAAGAAATTAACATTTATTCAATCAACATGACTGTGTGTATTCACCTGAATGTGTGTAGTCACAGGACTGTGTGTATTCACCTGAATGAGTGTAGTCACCTGACTATCAGTGTGTGTAATCTATCACATTTGCATACTTTCTTGTTTTTATTTTCAGATGACATCAAGAAAGCTTACAGACGTATGGCATTAATTTTTCACCCTGATAAGGTAAGTCTACCAAAAGAGTAGGTACCGAAATATTCTACAGTTCATGTGAATTATGTAATTTCAACCTGTCCAGTCTTCTCAAAAATTGATACAAATAGATGCCAGACATCTGGTCAGGCAAAGGAAAATTTATGATGGTCTGGAAGTTTATGAGCATGACAAATGTGGAATTGGCATTGAAAAATTGTGAAAATTTATCTAAAATTTAGTCAAACCAATCCAAAATATCAGGGGGTCAGTCAGATTTCGAGACCTGTCCTTATTGGGAATGGCCAGAACTTATAGATAGTGGGCATGTTAAGTCTTTCGTTTGTTATAAGAATTGATCATAGAAAAAATACCTTTGAAAAATTAAAAAGCCATTGAAATTCAAAATTTCTGTAAATCTTGTGAGTGGAAATGGGCATGTGGAAAAGCCAAATCCTTGTGGGCTGTAGTATACCAAGATTATTACAAATTTTAACTAATCAACCAAAAAATAAGCCCTTTATTCTATACAATTGTAATACAGTTTACTCTTGTTAATTCAAAATGGAAGGACAGTGATAACATTTCAAGTCAATCAAAAGTTTGACTCAAGAGGAGTGCATGTAAAAACAATCAAAGGGAGATAACTCAAATTTGCACGAGGTAAAATCAGTATTGCCTATCAGGTTGGTCTAATTAAGAAATAATTCACTGAAGCCATAGATTTGTTGGAGAATTTTATCACGGTGTTGTTTACAAAGCGAAAGAAGCACGTCATATTAGAATCCTACTTTGTACTAGAGGTTATCAATCTAAGTCACTTTTTACATCAAGATAGTAAATTTTAGACTAAAGTGCCACTTTGAAACGAAAATTACAATGTAGGGTGATGTTTTATTAAACACTTCTAGTTTTTTGTGACCTAAGCATAACATTATACACATGACCTTTCAAAGCATGATAATAAGAATAATCACTTTGCTGTTAAAAAGATGATTTTATTTAACTGTGGTTGACTAAGGCAGCTGTCCAACATGTCTAACTGTCTAAGAAAGTGTTATTTAAACAGAAATATAGATTACCAGATTAAGTTGCATTGTCAATAAGGCAAAAATAGGAGAAAAATTTCAACATTTTGAACAAAATTTACATTGTTTATTATACTCTTGGACAGCAGATTTAGTTTGAGTCATGCAAAATGTTGACTCATTGGAATTTGACTGAAACAGAACAAATCCATATAAATTACTGTATTTCAATGTCAAAACCACAGAAATATTTTGACTCATGCAAAATTTCAAGTCAATTCGGTTTGTTGGGATAGTTAACTGTATTTGCCATTAGGTTTTGAGCAACAAATGAAATGACATTCAGAAATTGTAATAATATCAAAAAAGGAGATTTTGGTATAATTGCTTATGAGAAAAATTGACCAAAACCAATACCTTATAATCATCTATAAAAGGCCTCAGATGACAAAATGTAAATTGAAGAAAAAAACAAAAAACAAAGGCCTGATTTATACAACAACTATAAATGAAAAACATTAATGACAGACAGCAACCAATAACAACCATAGAATTACAGGCTCCTGGCTTGGGATAGGCATTTAAGGTAAACAATTTTCTTTGTCCTTTATTTGCAGAATCAAAGTGAGGATGCAAAAGAAAAGTTTCAGGAGATAGGTTATGCACACAAATACCTTATCGAGGGTAAGTTCTACAAAAAACCTCACAAAAAAATGAGTCCAAAAAATACTCCACTGAAAGTAAGTCCAAACAATACCCCACTGAAAGTGAGACCAACAAATACCCCACTGAAAGTGAGTCCAAACAATACCCCACTAAAAGTGAGACCAACAAATACCCCACTGAAAGTGAGACCAACAAATACCCCACTGAAAGTGAGACCAACAAATACCCCACTAAAAGTGAGTCCAAACCAGGCATGGGGCGAATTACATTGCAATGTAATGCATTGTATTACAATTACTTTGACAAAACCATGCATTAAATTACAATTACAATTACATGCATTTATCAAAGTAATGCATTACATTACAATTACTTTTGCAAAATAATGCATTGAATTACACATTACATTTGTAAATTTTATTATCAAGTGAAAAGAAAAAAACATTTTGAAAACAACATGAAGTCACAAAAGATTCTAGTATATGCAGTCAGGGCTCGACAATAACGCTTGTCCGATTGTCCGGTACCAGAGGAAAAAAAGGTCAGACAAGTAAAAGCTATATCAAGCTTGTCCGATGGGACAAGTAAATTTATTCTGCATAAAATAAATTTAATCCAACTTTGATGAACAAAGTAATTTTAAACAAAAAACAAGAAAAGAAGATAAAAACAAGTATTAATTTGACATGTTTACTTGCAATCGATAATTTAAACTGGTTCTTTGTCAGGTACTTTTTAACAGGTAAAAGGCATACTATTATCAGAAACCAGTCTTACTGATCCGAATCAGCCATGCGCTTTGTAGATGGATAACTTTACAAGACAGTTCGTCTCCAGCTTGGAACAATTTGGCTCCAAGTTTAATAGACAGTTTGGCACCGTAGGAGACATATTTAATAGACATGATAAATAGACAGTTTGGCAATGCAGGAGAAATTTCCGTACCTCGTTTTCCTACCTTGATTCTGTTGCTTTATAATAAATACCAAACCAGTAATTTTTAAACAAAAATATTTTTTAAATAAAAATGAAGAAATTATTTACCATAAATTTCACAAAATCAGATTTGATCATATGTAGAAAAAAAACAATACTTGCAATACTGTGACCTATAGTTGTTAATTTCTGTGTCATTTGGTCTCTAGCAGAGAGTGATCTTATTGGCAATCATACCTCATCTTCTTTTTTTTATTGATTGCATTTGAATAAACTTTTTTTCAGCTTAAAAAAACAGGATACAAATCCAATGAGTGTACATTGACAGGCCTATCAGACAGTGCCTCATGTGCAGAGTCTGATGAGACTTTGGCATTGATGAAAACTAGAACCTTAAAGTCCTGTGACATGACTAGATTCAGTTGTTCTTGACTCATATTTTTGAAAAGTGTATCAAAAGATATAAAACTAACTTCTGTTATCAGTCAGAGCTCTGACATAAACAAGTCAGAATAAAATGACTTCTTCAAGTCAGAAAGTGTTTTGAAATTCTGACCTGTACGCGTCAATTTTTGTTTTGCGCAGTTTTCACTCGAGTCCGTCAAACCAGAAGTTATTTTGAATTTGCCGCCGATCTACGACACATACGATCACGTGGTTTTTTGCAAGAGATCACGTGTTTGAGAGTCGTTGTTTTGGAAGTGTCTCGAACGAGAAGTCATTGAATATTATATTGATTATTTACGATTTTTAGTGAAAATCTAGGTCATTGTGGGCATTTTTATAAAGGTAATTCATATTACCTCCGTATTTTCATGGGCATTTTTATATTTTTTGCCTATAAAGAAGTTCCTTGCAAGTGATTTTTTTGCTGTTTCATGAAGGCGCGCGACCTGTAAATACGGACGCGTGGTCTTTTAGATGACCTGGTGTTTGACAATTCTGACTTGTTCAGGTCAGAAAATGTTGTTATGATAATGAATTGTTATTTTCGGGAGATAACTCGTGTTGTCTTAAACAATATTAACATTATTAACCAGTCAGTGCAATTTAAAAAGTAAAATTATTGCTTCGAGCTGAACATCGTCACGTGATTTTTCTATTTTTAAACTCAATAACGAACTGATTTTTTAACCTTTCTGATTCGTTTCTCCCTATGAGAAAAACTATCATTGCGAATATTGATATGATGATAATGAAACGAAAATGGGAAAAATTTTAATAAAAGAAAAAGGAAGGGAGGGGTTTAACTAAAGAACCCAAGGGTTTATTTTTTTTTATTTTTAAAGTTATAACTTGAGAACAATAAGCGATGCACACACCTGGTCTTCATTTATGATCATGGGACATGATAAAACAAATCAAATGAAATGTAGGGCAAGTCTCCAGGGATCACCCCTATCCCTGTCATTTCTCTATTCCTCTTTATAATGTCAAATTTATTTGAATGAAATATACCGGGCTATTCTCCAGGTTTACCCCCACCCCCTGCCATTTGCAAATGTTCTTATATTTTGTAAACGGTAGAGATCCCCACCCCTAAACCATATATATTCTTGTATGGGACAATTTAACAAATCAAATGATATGTTGGGGAGGTCCCTGGGGGTCACCCCTACCCCTCCTGTTTGAAAACTTGTAAACGGTCGAGATCCCCACCCCTAAACCATATATTTTCTTGAATAGGACAATGAAACAAATCAAATGAAGTATAGGGGAAGTCCCTTGGGGTCACCCCCACCCCCTCCTGTCATGTGGAATCATGTTAATTGATAAGTTTTTTTAGAAACAATTCAGTCAAATGGTCTTTAAAATAATAATTTTTACAACCAAAAGTTCCATGTGTTAACTTAACAGAAAAGAAAAAGTCATGAAAATACAGAAATAGAATAAAATTTTAAGATAATTTGATGAAACTTGTAAACAAAATACATTTGAATATTACATTTACCAAAAAACTTTTTTAAAGCCCTCATTATTGTGACTTTATTATTGGGTGTCTTTTTATCTGTTTTTCCCATACATTCTTAAATGCATATGACAATGCCAGACTTAGAAGTTGCAATAATTAGTTAAAGTATAGTTTTTGACTGACTCTTTGAAGTCAGAACATAATTTGACCTGTTTAAAACAAAATACATTTAAATATTGAATATACCAAATAAACTTTTTTATATAATCCTCATTATTGTGACTTTAGGGGACCTTATTTCCTCTGTTTTTTATCTGGCTCTCCCATACATTTTTAAATCAATATGACAATACTAGACTTAAAAGTTGTAATAAGTTTAGTTTTGACTGACTCTTTGAGGTCAGAACATGATTTGACCTGTTAAAGTCAGTTTACAGAACAAAATTTCCAATCAAAGCTAGGTGTACTTCCTTTAATCCAAGAAAGTCCTTGCTTTCAGACTGCTTCTGAATCTGCCATTTTCGAGTTTATTATTTGATAAATTTTTAGAAACAATTAAGTCAAATGGTTATTTATTTTAGGGGATCTTAACATATATTTCCTGTGTCTTTTATCTGATGTTCCCATACATTCATTTAATATCATATGGCAATGCCCGGCTTAAATATTTCAATAAATTTATTTTAGTTTTGGACTGACTCTTTTAAGTCAGAACATGATTTGACCTGTTTAAAACAAAATACATTTAATATTGAATATACCAAATAAACTTTTTTATAGTCCTCATTATTGTGACTTATAGGGACCTAATTTCCTCAGTCTTTTATCTGGCTTACCTATACATTTTTAAATCAATATGACAATACTAGACTTAAAAGTTGTAATACGTTTAGTAAGTCAGAACATAATGTGACTTGTTTGAGTCAGTTTGCACAACAGTATTTACCTCAATGAAATATTAAAATAATAAATGTTTTGCTCTTAATACATTTAGCTTAAAGTGGATGAGAATATATCTTTTATTAACATAGTCTTATCATGAATAAGTGTCTTGTTTTTCCTTGGAAGATTTGAAGTATTGTCATGTAATGTATCCAATATTGTATTTTGTAAATCTTTTGATATTCAGAAAATTGTATGATCCATTTTTTCTCACCTGGTTTTTCTTTGTATTTTGAAATAAATGAAAGTGATGAGATAAATATATTATGTTTAGATTCTGGAAAGGAGAAGGTATGATGTCAGATGAGCCCCACTTTTTAAAACTCTTTAATTCGAAACTAGTAATCACCATATTTTTATGGAGATTGATAACAAAGTGGTAGTAATGACTGCTTCAAATCAGAACAAAAATGACCTCTCGAAGTCAAAATGCATTAAAAAGGGGCATAAATCTTATTAGAATATGAAGATATTAAGTCACAATATTTTGTGCAAAATCTGACCTGTGGAAGTCATTTTATGATAAATTAAAGTCTGACATAAACTGACCTGTACAAGTCATATTCTGTTGAGTGCAAGAAGGGAGACAACACTTACATCAAATTATATCTGACCTATGGAAGTCATTTTATTCTGACTTGTTTATGTCAGAGCTCTGACTGGTTATATTGTTTTAATTCATTTTGTTCCTGGAATCAACTTAAAATGCAAAAAAAGGTTATTATTAAGATTTTTTTTGGACAAGTTACAATTTTATTCGGACAAGTAAATTTTGGTATGTACTTGTCCTACTGGACAAGTTGAAAAAAAAGTTAATGTAGAGGCCTGGCAGTAACTGTTCCATGCATTGAATTCAAGTATACATGTAAAAAGTCTATTCAATACGACTATTACATTTTAACATCATAAGGGATTCGAAGGTTTCATCCTTCATGCGCATTCTATGTTTAAAGGTATACATCTCTGTGTTTTCTCTAAAAGAAATTACAGAGATAAAGTTTGATACTTATTTTAACTTAATGTTAACTTTACTCTTATAAATATACATTTGTTTTTTTTAATTTCAATCAAAATATTTACTGAGAATTTCTTTCCTAATTATATAATAAACATAGAGCTTAATTTCTGACCAAGTGTCAAAATGGTGAAAATATTGATTGTAAAACAAACTAATTAGTGCTTTATGACAGTGTTCAATTATCTGTTATTCAATCATGACAAGGTATTCATTAATCTTTTGACAACGATACAGTAATGCTCACAAATATCAATCTTTTTATGAAGGAAAATGTATGAAAATGTATGAAATAAAATGAAATAAAAAAACCCAACTCAATCTGATATACAGTGGTGTGTTATTCATTTAGAATTGTAATTTGGTTATTCTAGTATTTATACCAATGTTTTTCAAGATCTACCTGGGGCAAGGATTAATCATCAAATTCCCTCTAGTGATTTATGTAAAGGATGAAAAATAAATAGAAAATAGAAAATCAATATTCAATTGATTATGTTCTTAGCTAATCAAGAAATCTTATATTCTGCTTTAATTAAATCTCCAACAATCTATTAAAGATATATAGTATGTGGAAAAAAGTAATGCCATGTAATGCAATGTAATGCAATGTAATGCAATGTAATGCATGAAATTACACAACTTTTTGCTGAAGTAATGCATTAAATTACAATTACATGTAATGCAAAAATTGTTGCATTACACAATACATGCAATTACTTGGAAAAATGTAATGCATTACCCTGAATTACAATTACAAATTTGCATTACCCCATGCCTGGTCCAAGCAATACCCCACTGAAAGTGAGTCCAACAAATACTCCACTGAAAATGATTCAAACAAATACCCCACTGAAAACAAGTTAAACAAATACCCCACTAAAAGTGACTTCAACAAATACCTCCTTGAGAGTAAGGAGAAATACATTGCTGAGAGTAATTTCTACAAATACCTCACTAAGGGTAATTCTACAAATAATGTTTGACTTTAAGTTAGTTATACAGGGGGTAATGATTCAAACTGTAAACTGAGAAATACCTTTAATGTTTTAGGTTAATTTTGATTAGTAAGGTCAATATAAGTTATTGTTAACTTTTGTTTTGACTTCAAATTTAACTAAGGTCTGGTCCAAAAATGATTGTGTTGGTAAAGACAGTGGTTTTATTGGGTTGGTGGTTGTGTTATTCAGGAAATTTTTGTTTAGTTGAAGTTAAATAACCAATATTTTTAATCTCATGCACAATAAACTAAGGGAATACTACACTAAGAAATTAATACATTTGTATAACTTAATAATACTCTTGTGTGTAAATTTTGCATTTTATGGATTAAAGTGTTTTACTCATAAATCCTTTATTTCTGAAAATCAAAAACAAATCTGAATATGAATACATTGGAGATGTTGGATTTATCTCAATGATCATAGCAACACAAAATCACAGAAGAACAAAAGACATTTTTAACATCTGGTAAAATATTGTGAATTACTTTTTACTTATGATATTTTTGGTACTGATTAATATTTATCATTCCTCAAAATTTCATATGAAAAATCCACAAACACGTCTTGTCAGAAATTTAAAAATTTTTGCTTGCATTTCAAAACCATAACATGTAGCTGTCTTTATTTTTCCATAATTTTCATGCCGAGGATGAAGGACCATTTGATAGTGACATGCTAATATGTCTTTATATATCATTGAAAGATCCCAATGATCTTTTGTAATTAAAAGTATTTGTTTGTGTGAAAATCACTTGGACATTTGGTATTTGTTAAATAGTATCTTAAAGATTTGAAACATAAAGCTCAAATACACAAAACAAGGGCTTTTTTGCCCAAGGTATATATAATTAAGAAATGAACAGACTTTAGGAATTTCTAATTTCCATTCTATTTTTGTTTTTTGGATGGCTTATTATTCAGCAGTGAATGGCAACTTCAGCAGACTTTTTATATTTTCAATCTATTGAAACAATATTCTATTTTTTACTTATATTAGTTTCAATATTTTGTATTGTTAATAACAATGAGTACCTTATATTTTCACAGAGATTGACTTAAAATACCTGCCATTGAGAGACAGTTTCTTTATTGATAAAATTGGCCCAAAATAAATCAATAATAATTTGAACATTTGTTGTGAATGTGAAAATTGATTTTTGATCATTATGAACTCTTTCAATGTCAAAACCTGTAATATTTTCTGTGATTGCAAAAGATTTGAATTGATAAAAAAAACTTAAACCAATCTTTCTGATATTTCAAATTGATCAAGAAACCCTGAAATCTTAACATGTGACCTGAAATGTTTTGCACACAGCACCAACAGTTTGGCAACTCCTCTGATTTTGATAAATAATACATTATCTATAAAAAAAACAACATCGACCTTTTTTTAATTGAACAAAGCAGCTTAAGCCATGCCCAGTTAGGTCAAAGCCATGGAGAAACATATTAGAGTAAACTTTTTTTTTTAATTTTGCAGGTATTAATAGAACTTATATCATGTAATTTTTATGAAAATTAAGTACTAATTATATGCTTGATATGATATTCAGGACCAAGTGCAGTTGGTTTTCAAGAAGATGGACAATTTACTGGCCATGCTGGTGGACATGATGTTCCAGTAAGTTATATTTATAATAGCACACAGGTTTACAGAGGTTTACACCTAATCAGATGGACATTTTACTGGCCATGCTGAAGTCCCAGTAAATTATATTGAGAATATCTGTTTATGCTTTTGATGGACATGTAGTATCTATGTAATTTTATTTGCAATTCACGGGTCCACAAGAGGCAGTTACAACACATATATATATTAATGATTCAAAATCAAGTTTGTCATAAATTTTCTTGTATATATTTCAAAATCAAGATACAGTGATATTGTTATAAAATTAATCAGATTGATCCTGACTCCAGCGAAAACAACTAATTTTCAAAAGTAAAATGGAATTTTTACAATTGAAGGCCCAGTACAATTCATTGATTAGGGAAATGGAAAGGAAATTATTGTTTAAGGTGGATATTAAACATAATACCGTGGATTCATTTTTAATAGTGGGATATTAATTTTCATGGATTTCGTTTCCTAAGGGGAACCACAAATTTAAAAGTTCAATGACTTTCAAATTTCCCATAGGCGTGTATGCAGAATTTGTCAAATCCAAGAAATCAAGTATCCATGAAACTTCAATTTTTCCCTAATCCATAAAAATTGGTATCCACGAAGATAAATGAATCCACAGTATCTTAGCCCTTGCATTATTAGTATCAATAGCCAAACAGTCAGATTAATATTTCAGTAGCCTTGTTGGTAGATAAGTTATATCTATAGCAGTATGATCAGTCAGGTTGACATTTTAGTGGCCATTGTGACGGGAATGTAACACACCCAGATAGATTGAGGTTTAAATGGCTAAGATATCCCATTAAGCAATGTCTATAGTAAAAAAGTGTATCCGGTATGGGTTTGCTCATTGTTGGAGGCCGTACAGTGACCTAATATGCCATTAGGTCTCTGGTGGAGAGTCATCTCATTGGCAATTATACCACATCTTCTTACTTTTATACATAGTAAAATTGACAGACAAGTAGCCCTATGTTCATTAAATGGTTCAAGGGGGACTGTGGATTCATTATTAAGAGTGGGCTACCTATTTCATGGATTGCCTGGGTATAGATGAACCAATTTAAATGCCAATGAAGTATAAATTTTTCATAGCATTTTATGCAAAGTTTGGCAAAACCACAAAATCAGGTATTAACGAAAATATAATTTTTCTTCAATCCACAAAAATAAATGAATCCGCAGAAGTCAAATTAACAGTTAAGTAGCAACACATGTATCTGATACAATATGTTTCAAGGGTTATTTTTAAAGTGTTGGCTGTCTCTGTACCTCCTCATGTAAGCCAATTAGCATTGGTGAATTGTTTGAATTCATAAATATGTAAATAAAAATATCATTTAGGGAAGGAATCTTAAAGTGTAAAAAAAATATCACAATTGATATTTGAGCAATGTAAAGTTATGACTGAATTACATCATTTCTATTTATAGATTAATATTTTGACGAGACTGTTTCCATGGATGATGGGTGGTGAGTATATAGTTTACTTTAAAGGTGTAATTTTAAAGGCAGCAATTTATTATTATATTTAGAAGTTTGAAGTAAATAAAGTTGTCACTTGTTCCTGACCAATGTTGGTACTTTCCTTATTGTCTCGCCTTGACGGAGTCAAAAAGCTAGACATAGGTATGTTGTTTCCGGCGTCGGCGGCGGCGTCAACAATGTATTAGTTTGTGATTAGGTCTAGTTCATGGTGAACCACTAGTGGCAGGTCAATGATATTTAGTATGCAGTTGTATTAGCATTGACACATCTCATTACCATGCAGATTATTTGGCCCCGCCCCCTCAGTCAAGGTCTATTGACTTTGAAACTTTGCTTAGTTTACATGTATTAGTTTGTGATTAGGTCAGTTTATTGGGAACCACTAGTGGTAGGTCAATGATATTTGGTATGCAGTTGTATAAGCATTGGCACATCTCATTTCCATGGAGATTATTTGGCCCCGCCCCCTCATTCATGGTCTATTGACTTTGAAACTTTTGCTTAGTTTTCATGTATTAGTTTGTGATTAGGTCAGTTTAAGGAGAACCGTTAGTGGTAGGTCAATGATAACTGATATGCAGTTGTATAAGCATTAGCACATCTCATTTCCATGGAGAATATTTGGTCCTTACCCCTCAGTCATGGTCTATTGACTTTGAAACTTTTGCTTAGTTTACATGTATTAGTTTGTGATTAGGTCAGTTTAAGATGAACCACTAATGTTAAGTCAATGATATTCGGTATGCAAATGTATAGGCATTGGCAAGTTTCATTTCTATGGAGATTATATAACCCCACCCCCTAATTATGGTTCATTGACTTTGAAACTTCTACATAGTTTGCAAGTTAATGTTTGTGTTTAGGTTTGTTTAAAGGGAACAACTTATGAAAAGTCAATGGTATTTGGTTTGCAGAACTTTGTATTAACATTGGCACATCTCATTTCCATGGAGATTGTTTAGCCCTGTACCTTCAGTCATGGGACATTGACTTTGAATATTTGCATTACTTACATGTTAAAGTATTTCTTTTTTAATTTCAACATTTGCATTATCAAAATAACAAATAGGCGAGACATATATATCTCTGTGTTAACAGTTTATAAGACTTATTTACAAGATCTTTCTAGCTATATCAAAGATTTTATCATTTTAAGATAGCATCAATTCTGGAATTGAAGTTAAACACAGCTGTATATTATATAAATGAAAAGTTTAATGTGAAATTTCTTATTCTGAAAATGTTGAGGCAGTTTCCAAGTTGTCATTGAAAGCTTGCATGGCTTTATAAATATTTTGTCATGTTAGTTGATTATTTGAAAATAAATGTCAAATGTACAATGATACAAGGTTATTTCAAAGTTTAAAGTCAAAACTAACATGTTATTTGATAATCAAGTAACGAAAGGATATTGACTGCTATATTTTTAATTCCATATGAAAAATCATGGATTAAAATGTCCCAGTGATAGACAGTTGTTAATTTCTGTGTCATTTGGTTTCTTGTGGAGAGTTGTCTCATTGGCAATCATACCACATCTTCTTTTTTATATTTACATGGATCTATTGGTACATTATGTTCCTGCCTTGCCAATGACGAAAGCAGGTCTAGGAACTGCATGACTCTGTCTGTCCGTCTGAATGTCCTTGGGTAGAAAACTTTTGTCAATGTTTTCTTGACTTCTTTAGGAGGGAATGATTTAATATTTGGTCTGTGTTGTAGCCAATTAGGGATTTTTACATCTGCCGTGTAGCCACTTCCTTTTTGCCAATAGTTTGAAATTTGACAATACTCATTGTACAAGGAAAATTTTCCTCAAACTTTTCTTAGCTTCCATGATTTTAGGGAATTATCAGTTATACTTAAGTATACATGTATCCTTAATCAATTGCATGCAGCAATACAGGTCCAGACTTTATATTGGTCTTGTTAATGATACTTTCTGAAATATTTTGGTTTATTTTACAGACTTTGGATTAGCTCGACCTTCTCCTTCACCATTTGGCGGACTTTTTGGCCATCACGTTTCCAGTCCATTCCACCAGAGTCCATTCCAGCAATTTTTTATGGACCCATTCAGTGGTATGCATGGCTTTGACGATTACGATGATAGTGACGATGGAGAGGAAATTGTCATTATGCAAAATGGAAGAATAACTGTGATAAAATCAGGCAATAAGGGACATTCTAGGAGAAGGAGGAATACACGGAGACCACAACAACATCATGATCCCTTCCTGTCCAGATCACAACACCACCAGGATCCCTTCCTGTCCAGATCACAACAACACCAGGATCCTTTCCTGTCCAGATCAGCACATTTCAACAATAGACAAAGTCAATTCCACTCAGATAATAGTCATACACATATTCCAACATCAGATAATGTACATAGAACTTCTTCTAGGTTTAACCCAAGAAGATCCTCTGACACAAGTGATTATCATAACAGGAGACCAACAACTTCCCAGAATTCCTCCATGCATACTCCAAATAAAGCCTCTTATGGCTCAGGAAATTTAAACGATCAATTTTCTACTGGTACCCAAAGTTCTGGTACCTCTAAGGTACATTCTACTCCTACACAAAATAATGACAGTAAAGAGGGAAAATCCAAAACTAAACCTCAGACTGTGATCACTTCCAGGAAAGAAAGAAAAAAGCAAAAGAAAGCAAATAAACCAGGTAAGATGCATGGTAGTATTGGATATTGAACTCCAGTCTTAGAATCGGCCTATTAATACAGAAGTATAAAACGTGACTATATGTGGAACATCATTGCTGAAACTTAAAGATTTAGAAATGCAACTATTACCTACATGTGTTGCCATGGTTATAACTAAGCATGATATATAGTGATCCCCATGTTATATGTTATTTCATATGTACTTCTATTTGTCTGGAGGAAAAACATAACTGGGAAAAATTTCTTAGAATTTCAAACAATGATATTGTTTATAAAATATGAAATGAGATTGGTACTGCTGGTTTTAATGAACCTGTTTTATAAGACATGTTAATTTTTCTTACCTTTCAAAATTGTGATTCTGTGTGTAGTAGGTGTTATCAGTATTCCAAATAATCACATTACGCCTGTTTGTTCTTACAAGTTAAAGTATTTTAGATGCAACTGCTTTTATATCCATGAATATAAGAGGTATAGGATTGAACAAATCTTAAATCTGAAAACTTTTGCTTTCTGAGTGTTGAGATTTAAACATAAATCAAAATTGGATGGGTATTTTCAGCCAGTCAAACTAAACCTGCAACTTCCAATGTGACGACAAGAGATGACATGCCAGAGATGGTAGAATCTGGGTCAGAAGATAATGATAGTATCTATGACAACATTGATGATATAGAAACTAGTCAGGTATTATTGTATGTCATGTTGTATCCATGAAAACCCTGAAGACATTAAAATCAGTCTGGTATTGTTTCCTATTAAGTATCCATGACAACCATGATGATGATGTTAAAACCAGTCAGGTATTGTTTCCTATTAAGTATCCATAACAACCGTGCAGATATTAAAACCAGTCGGATATTGTTTCCTATTTAGTATCTATGAAAATCATGAACATTTTGAAACCACTAGTCATGTATTATATCCTATTAAACATCCATGACAACTATGAAGATATTGAAACCAGTCAGGTATTGTTTCCTATTAAGTATCCATGACAACCATGATGAAGATATTGAAACCACTCAGGTATTGTTTCCTATTAAGTATCCATTACAACCGTGAAGATATTAAAACCAGTCAGGAATTGTTTCCTATTTAGTATCTATGACAACCATGAAGATATTGAAACCAGTCAGGCATGTATCCTATATATGGAATAAAAAAATTGAAATGATTTACATTTTTTTTTAGCTAGTTTGTCTTACACATGTATTATGTAATTAATTATATGTAAATCAATTTGATTGTACAACTTGTTATTGGGCAGCATTATTGACAATAAAAAGTTTATATTATATCGAACACAGCACATAAATTCATATGACACTAACATAATAATGTTCTGACTGTGCATGTAATATTTGTCACTGAACACTATTATGTCAGTCAGTCAATAGTGAAGTTGAAGGGAACTAAGGAAATACAACAATTTCTGAGAAAAAATACCCAGAAGGAATCTATGTGAGCAGCACATGCATGTCCAAATAACGAGTCCTTCCAATACAACCCAATAATATTTTAAAGGGAGAAAGAACAATGAAAATATTTAACCTAATTTTTTAGTCAAAAAGTATTGGTATGATACAAGCAAAGTCTCTGTTACAGGTACCATTAAAATTGAACAAGAAACAAAGAAGAAAACTGAAGAGAGAAAGAGAAAGACTGGAGAAGGTAAAATATAAATTAAGGTAGTTTACATGAATGAGTCATATTAAAGAACAAACTTTTTTTTTATAAGACATTGAATATTTCATTTTTAAGTGTTTATTTCATATAATAACTGTTAGAATGTAAACAAAATATGTACACTGAAATAATAACCATATAAACAACACATATCCTCACTTTAAATTGTATAACTCTTGTTTAACCTATAAAAAAAAGGTTATAATGTATTACTATTTGAAAACACAAAAATAATGTCACTTTAATTTCTGTCCAATATTTTGTCAATTTGTGTTTAGAGTTATCTCCCTTATGAGCAGAAAAAAAAGAAAACAAAAGGCAAGACTAGAATCCTTTGATTCTAAAAATTGTCAACCTGTTTAGACAGTTGATTTGTTTTCCCTTGCCAAGATGTCAACTTTTGCTCCACCATGAAAAAAACAGCAATCATGCAATGTAAATGGATTGTTCACAATTTTATCACATGAATTGCTCATGTAAGCCTATGGAAATGAAGGCAACTTATGAATGCTAGGAAAACATGGGAAAAGGGGGTGGGGGTTTGAATATCATTTGGCTTATAATTTGCAGTTTATCCAGTAAATCAGGTCTATCTTAAATTAGCTCTTTTGATTCTAGTAGCAAATGGCAGTACGGTGAAACTATTTTTTTTATCTTAATTTTCTTAGATCAACAAATCTTGATACCAACAGATTTATTTATTACATAATAATTTACAGGAAATGGCACAGACAAACAGTGGAAATGTTAAAATGTCTCATAAACCTATTCCACAGGAAGTTGAAGAGGATGATGAAACATCCTCCAATTCATCTGCTACTAATGACACACAAGGTAGTCTTCATAATAATTTACACATGTTGAAATGATTTGCACTTCCTAATACCTATTTCACTTAACTTTATAAAATAAGAAGATGTTGTATGATTGCCAATGAGGCAACTATCCAGCTGAGACCAAATGATGTAGATGTTAGCAACTATAGGTGATTGTATGGCCTTCAACAATGAGCAAAACCCATACCACATAGGAAGTCTCTACATCATAACAGGATTCCCACTCAATCTTCTTAACTGGAAAAAGCCAGGAATATTATTTCAGTTGTTTCAGGCATGGAAATGTCCTTGAAATTCAGAAAAGTTACAAACATCCTAGAAAAATTCTTGTATTTGAAATAAGCGTATTAAAATGCGAATAATTTCCCTCATAATTCTGCCTCCAATTATACAGAAAGGGGCCCGGGCCCACCAGCCCCTTAAATTTGACTCTGTGGTATTTTTATACGACCGCAAAAAAATTTTTGTGGTCGTATATTGGTATGACGTTGGCGTCGTTGTCGTCCGAGAACACATTAGTTTTCGCACTCTAACTTAAGTTTAAGTGAATGGATCTCAATGAAATTTTACCATAAGGTTCAATACCACAAAAGGAAGGTGGGGATTTTGGGGGTTATGGTACCCACAGTTAAGGAATTAGGGGCCAAAAATAAGCATTTTTATAACTTCCAGACATAACTTGTGTGTAAGTGTATGGATCTCTTACATTGTACCACAAGGTTCCATATCACAAAGGGAATGCTGGGATTTATTTTGGGGGTAATTGCCTCCAAATTTTAGGAATTAGGGGCCAAAAAGGGGCAAAAAACAAGCAGTTTTCTAGTTTCATGACAATAACTTGTGTGTAAGTGTATGGATCTCTCTGACATTGTATCACAAAGTTCCATATCACAAAGGGAATGCTGGGATTGATTTTGGGGGTAATTGCCTCCAAATTTTAGGAATTAGGGGCCAAAAAGGGGCAAAAAACAAGCATTTTTCTAGTTTCATGACAATTACTTGTGTTTAAGTGTATGGATCTTTATGAAATTGTACTACAAGGTTCCATATCACAAAAGGAAAGCTGGAATTGAGTTTGGGGGTAATTGCCCAAAAAGAATAGGAATAAGGGATCAAAAAGGGGCCAAAAATAAGAATTTTTCTAGTTTCCAGACAATAACTTGTGTTCAAATGTATGGATCTCTCTGAAATTGTACTGCAAGGTACCATACCACAAAGGGAAGGCTGGGATTGATTTTGGGGGTAATTGCCTCCAAATTTTAGGAATTAGGGGCAAAAAAACAAGCATTTTTTCCAGTTTCCGGACAATAACTTGTGTGTAAGTGTATGGATCTTTATGAAATTGTACTGCAAGGTTCCGTATCACAAAGGGAAAGCTGGGTTTGAGTTTGGGGGTAATTGCCCTAAACGTTTAGGAATTTGGGGCCAAAAAGGGGCCAAAAAACAAGCATTTTTTTAGTTTCAGACAATAACTTGTGTTCAAGTGTATGGATCTCTCTGAAATTGTACTGCAAGGTACCATACCACAAAGGGAAAGCTGGGATTGAGTTTGGGGGTGATGAATCATAAGGGGGTTCAAAAGATTGGGGGGGGGGATTTTTTTTTCCTTTTTTTTCTTTAAAATTTTCCATTTTAAATTGGTTATTTCTGATTTATATATAAAAGCAAATAATAATGATATGGTTTGAATAGGTAAATTAAAAATTTCTAAGTTCTTAGACCACTTTCATTCTGTGTGAGAAACCTATGCTGTGTCAAATATTTAATTACAATCCAAATTCAGTGCTGTATCAAGCTTGAATGTTGTGTCCATACTTGCCCCAACTGTTCAGGGTTGGAACTCTGCGGTCATATCAAGCTGCGTCCCAGCGGAGCATTTTATTCTTTTGTATAATTTGTTTGAAGTAGGATTTTTCGTCTATTGTAGAAGCACTAAGTTACTGACAATGACATAAGACATATGATTCTTTGTACGAAAGGCAGATTGTTTGTTCCTAGCATAAATGTCCTATAGTCAAAAGTAACTTCTGTCTCTGATACAATGCTGGAAAATAGATGAATGTCCTTGAGAAAAATCCTGGTTAAAGCCTGGAATTTTGTGTTTTAGAAAAAGAGTGAGAACCCTGTCAGTAACACTTACATTTGTTTGTCCTTTTTTTTTTTTTTAGCATATTTGAAATCAACTGAATATGTCAATTGATTTGCAGGACAAACAGAATTTATATGACTTAAATGTCATGTATTGCATGAAATTAGCAGAAATCTTTGAATCAAGAACCTGTTAAGACATGCATGTGAAAAAATCTTGCGGTCGGCTTTTATTGGTGGAGAGAACCATCCATTGTTGGCTGGAGAACTGATAATCCTAGTCAATTAAGGAGTTAAAGGCACCTGCCAAGTGCGTGGTCCTAACTCACAATCTCAATGTTGAACGGCTAGTGATACAGTAGATGTACTTCTTAGATTACTAGGCAACCAAGGCCCCCTGCTGTTAATAATATATTGAAATAACTATATTAGCACCCTACAACATTTTTCATATTTTTCATTCAACAAAAATCTTGCAAGTTTTGCCTAAATTGTAAGTCGAGTCCTTATAGAAGTTATTGCCATCAATGATAATTTTTACTATTATTTGGCGTTATGTCTCTAATCTTGAACTTTAATAGATAGAGAGGAACTTCAAACAGCAAAATTACTCATTTTGACAAAATCTAAAAATAGATAATATGGCTAAAAATGGTAATTCAACTCATTGTGTGAGTTTTGTCTCTTGAAAATAATTTTTAACATAGTCACACTTTGTGATTTTGGTAAAACCTGTAGAAGAAAGAGAGAAATTTTAATGAGAAAAAAGGATTACAATACAAGATCTACAAATAAATTTACATGGCTGAAACCGTTGGTCCAATCTTTATAGGAATTATTACTCTTAATGATGATTTCAGCCCACACAGTTCCCATTTAACACAAATATTCTTGTTAAATTGTTTTAAATTTATCCAGGACAGCAATTCAGGCTCCTTGAAGCCTCTTGTTTCTAAGGTAAACTTTCAATGAAAAGTTTAGATATGTCACCACATATGTGCCTTACCTTATAGTTTATTGTCTTTGAAGACCCATGCTTCAAAAAGACAGATAAGAAGAAAAAAATATGCAATCAAAACCTTTCAAGGCAAAGGCAACACTTTGGCCAACAGAAAAGATTAAAAAGAAAAAGAAAATCCTTTTGTTTTTCTGTCTGTGCCTCCGTTCGTTTGTCCATCCGTCCGTCCATTTGTCCATCTGTCCCGCTTCAGGTTCAAGTTTTTGGTCCAGGTAGTATTTGATGAAGTTGAAGTTCAATCAACTTGAAACTTAGTACACATGTTTCCAATGATATGACCTTCTAATTTTAATGCCAAATTAGAGTTTTGACGCCAATTTCACGGTCCACTGAACATAGAAATGATAGTGTGAGTGGGGCATCCATGTACTATGGACACATTCTTGTTTCATTTTTATTCGTGGATTTCGTGGTTATAGTCTAATCATAAATTTAAATGTTTAACGAAGTACAAATTTTCTATAGGCATGTATGTACACTTTGGAAAAATCACAAAAAACAAATATCCATGAAACTCTCCTTTATCCTTAATCCACAAAAATTGATAACCAGGAAAATAAATGAATCTACAGTACATAGAAAACTAAAGATTGAGCAACACTGACCCCATCAAATACGGGTTACACTCCAGGTGCTCTGGAAGAGTCTGCAGTTCCTGCTCAGTTAAAGACAACCATCATGTTACTCCTGTTCAAATATACTGATGAGTCAAAGCCATTGATATAAGGACATCCTATAGAAGCAGATTAGTAAAATATTGGTATTTTATTGTAGAGGATGAAGTGATGCATTACAGTAGGAAAGTCAATATAAAATAGATATAAGAAGATGTGGTATGAGTGCCAATGAGACAACTCTCCATCCAAGTCACAATTTGTAAAAAGTAAACAATTATAGGTCAAAGTACGGCCTTCAACACTGAGCCAATATACCAGTAAATCCAAAATCACTAACTATTTATTTTCTTTGATATATGCACAATAATCCTTCCTAATTTTTGCTTTTTTCAGGGTTTATCTTAAAACATTTTAAAAAGAGAAATTATTTCCTGCAAATTAGCACATCTGATTACCAAAAAGAATGATAGCAATTCTAGTTATACAGACTTTGTACTCTCTCACAGGCAACACACCTTCCTTATATTAGCATGAGCAACATCATTCAGTGAAAGGATGAAATTAAATGTAGGTCACCACACTAAATTAAATGTAGGTCACCACACTAAATTAAATGTAGGTCACCACACTAAGTTAAATGTAGTTCACCACACTAAATTACTTAAATATACTTTGATTGACAGTACATTGAATTTATATGATTTGTTCATTCTTTTTATAGAAAAAAGGAAACAAGAGCATGCAGACGACAACATTCACCTTTTTGATCACCTTGCTCCACAGTCGCACCAGGATGAAGAAGAAATGCTTCGAGTTGCCATGGAGATGAGCAAGATGGAAGTGAATAACATAGACGATGACCAATTTTCACAAGATGATGCATACTCTAACTATGATAATCTTACTGATGAAGGTCAAAGTTCAAAAGGTCAAGATAACACTTCGTGGTATGATGATATAGGCAAAAGTCCATTTGCCAAGACTCCAATGGAAGACATGAAAAAGACTTACTACAAAGATATGTCGTCCACAAACTTTGACCCTGCATCTTATTATAAGTCAAGTCAACCTCAAGAGCCAAGGTCACAAAAAAATTATTCCAAATCTAACAAAGAAAACTTTGCAAGTGGTCATTCCACTGGTGTGGATTCTACAAGCAGAAGTCATGGAGCTACATCTCAAGGTCATGAACCTAGTTCTAATAGTCAAAACACTAGATACTTCTACTCAAAGGACTATAAGAGACCAGAAAAACCAGTTGAACAGCATCATCAGAAATACTTTAAATCTTCCACCAAACCATACAATTCTCATAAAGAAAAGCATTCATTTGATTTAGATGAACCAGACGATGTACCCTTGAATCTGAATGATGTTAAAACTAGAGTTGCTCCTATTGGAAGTTTTCATACTCAGGAGGTGCTGAATAATTCATTGAATGTGCCGAAAGGAATCCATGTGACTCAAATTAATCATGTATATAGGAAAAAGTGATGAAAAATTTATAATTTAGCTTTTGAACTTTTGAGGGGATCTGATGCAATTGTAACATAATTAGTGTCAGATTTTAAATACTCTTAAGGGGAAGATATCCCCTTAAGTAAATTATTGAGGGGGTGATTGGATCGAAATTTTGTAGAATTGTTTTTGTACTTTCTTTTTACAATTTAATCAATATTATTTGATAGCATTAATTTAAATGAGTCCAACCATTCATGAATTTATTAGTCAGGACAAAATAATTGGTACTAGCTCCAAAGGTTGGCAGGTACATTTAACCTCTCATTTTACAAGATAGATTTTCAATAAGAGACTTTTATTTTATAGAAATCTAATACATATTTTTGTATAAATGAAATGAGATGTTTTTTCATTTTGTTTTTTTGGCTTTACAGCATTATTTATATTAAAACATTTGTAAAAGAGATTATTAAGTACAAAAATAATGTGTTAAGGAATGAAAGATTTGTAGTTAACTGTTTCATAATCTACAACACATCATTTGTACTGTTGATCGGGGTTCTCACAAAGGAGAGTACATGAGTTCTGGAAAATCTGTCTGGACTCATCATTTTCAGAACTAGTGTGTCCAAAGATGCATCAAGATTGTAAAATGTTGTATCAAATGAGCACAAATATCATCATTTAATAACTAAAATTTTCAAAATAATCTAAATTTGATGTCATTTCCATGCTCTAGTTTGTCGTGGAGACAGAATAATAAATTATATAGCAATAAAATTTCATCTTCTCACAGTTGGACTTGCCATGGCCAAAATTTGAGTCCCAAGACTTGCCTTCAAAAATCCTTAATGAGAACCCTGGCTTATAACATAAATAGCCAATCACAATGGTAATGTACACTTTTGAAAATTTTTATCCAAAATGCAACAGTGAATTGATGAGTAGATTATCATTTCTATCCCCTCTTACCAAATACTGGTTCACCCTGAGAATGTTTATATTAAGGATGTTCGCTCCTCTGTTTGAAATAACAAGCTTTTTAAAAGACTGTTTTAAATTGATAGTATATATAAATAATAGAACTTAAAAAGCAAAAACTAATGAAGGGTCTGTGTCCTTGTTTTCGAGATATAAGCCATTAAAAATTTGGCGGGAAATGATTCTCTCTAGATTTTTTATATATTTAACATTGGCACCCTTTTTCTTTCAAAAAACTACGAAAAAATAACAATGATTTTATAAGATTTTCAAATATGGCCTTTTAAACTAAATGTAATAGAATTTATGAAAAAAAAAGTAGTGGTGAGTGGGCAAAATTTCTAAAGGAACTGCATGGATAAAACCAGGGATTCCAAATATCTGGCAAAAATTCAAAAACAAGAGGAGCGAACATCCTTAAGTTTATATGAGAGGATCATTTTAACGTTAAAACATTAACAGTGATCACAAAAAATCTTATGACTAAAGTTGATCGTGTTGGTCATAAGTCATGAACAATTCATTATACTTACGATGGTCTTTAGTCATCAGATTTTTATACCCCACATAGGGGCATTATGTTTTTTGGTCTGTGCGTCCTTTTTTTCGTCCATTCGTCCATTCAGTTTTTGGTCAAGGTAGTTTTTGATGAAGTTGAAGTCCATTCAATTTGAAACTTAGTACACATGTTCCCTATGATATGATCTTTCTAATTTTAATGCCATATTAGAGGTTTGACCCCAATTTCACGGTCCACTGAACATAGAAAATGATAGTGCAAGTGGGGCGTCTGTGTACTATGGACACATTCTTGTTTGAAACTGATCACAGATGTGTAGTTTAAAGGTTAACAGACCTTAACAATTGTCTATTGGTATTAAAGGAGTGTTATAAATAAAGATGTCAGATTTTTTGATGGAATTAAACACAAATATATTAAAATCTTCCAGTTCCTATCTTTTTTAACCCCCAATGGATGACATAACCTTTAACCTGGTCTAACTGTCAAAATTTCCTGTTTATATACTTTGCATTTCATATTAGAGATACTTGGAATGCTGTAATTTGAGTACTGAACTCTGAATAATTTTTCTGGTTTTCTCTACAAATTTTCATAAGGAAAGGGTTGAGATTCGCCAGAACAATGAAAATGGGTTTTATAATGCCAATCAAAAATCTTTCCAAATTTTTTTTTTAAACCCAACTTTTTTTTTCTCTTTTTCTAATTTAAATTCTTATGTCACATTTTTGTACTTGAAAAGTTATAGATGAATGGTTTTTGTGAACAAATTAATATTCATTGTAATGTTGTGAATTTATTGAGCCACTTTTGTTCTGTTTCAGACATTGTATATTTGTGTTACCAATAGATCAGTGATATTTTACTACTTGATTGGTACTTTACTGAAAACTAAAGTTTTGGTCAATGTGACGAATATTCAATATATGCAAGTTGGTCTTGAAAATTTTGCATAAAGGTCCAAGTCTTTAAGATTATAAATGAGGGTCATTGATGTAAAATTAAATACATTTTTTTTTTATTTATAAAATTATGTTATCAGTGTATTGCCATAATATGTTATGCAACAATTTTTTTTTCATTTGAAGGAAATTAATTGTTTACAATATTGTTTATAATAAAAATTTAATATGTAGACACAAGTTGTTATATATATCTTACAATATTTAGCTCACTTTATTCCAGCCAATTTCATTGTTAAAAATTGAATTGGGGCAAAATGATTGAATTAAAAACGATTTGGCAAAATAAGCAATATGATTGGATTTTTTTAACACAGAATATATTTGATCTGATATATAAGGGAAAATGAGTCCTGATTTACTCCTGAATCCAGAAAGCCACCATATGTAATTAATGTAATTGTTTCATAATGTCTGTCCCTCAGTTCCCACATCTGGTTATTATTATAAATTTGACTCTCTATGGAACCAGTACAAGTGTATTCATATCAATGTTAACTTTTTTTGCAATGGGTCAGTTCTATTGTAAATTGATGATAAACTGATTGAAAAAATACCAACATCGCTCATAATACAGATGGAACTGGGGTAAATCTTGAGCAAAGTCACTTTAATCGAACTGATTCATCAAGGCAATACTGATTTCAAAACCTATCAAATGTTTAATTAGCTTCAGAAAATTTTTGATAGAACTGACAAGTTGCAAGTAAATTAGTTACCACTTGTATGAATTTGAGTGTAAATCAATTTAAAACAATCTTGACAGACATACTTATAACCTGTTAAAACTTGATACAATATAAAGATGGCTGTAACGGGTCTAATCAGTATATATTAATTGAAGTATCTTTGGAAGTTCTAAACTAACATAAAGAGAATAATGTACAGACAGGCTGCCTTTTGGAACATAGCAAGAATTATTTATTGAAAGTTTAGTCCTAATAGCTTTCTGAGAGTGAACAAGGTTACATTTCGTCCAGTAGAAAAATATGTATAAAAATCTTCTTGAGAGCTGATTGATAAGTTAAGATTAAGGTCATTGTTACACTTTCCATGGTTATGGCCTGATAACCCTCAACCCATTATTAATCATAGAAATCGAGAATTGGTTTATCTAATTTACTGGTAATATAGGTTCAATTAATCGAGAAATTCAGCATCCAGATAAAATGTCTAACATCTGATCATCAATAAAATTATCAGTTTACTTAAAGCATGTCTAGGTTGTTAAAATATTATATCAACTCAATCTCAATGGAAGTGCATAATTAATAGAAGGCTAGCCCCTGGATAAAAGTAAGCAAGACAAAATTGCAGAGGTGAGACTTAGGCCTAGTGTTTCTAGTGGCAATCAACAATTATTGAATAGTGTGATTAGGTCATTTTTAAGTTGAACCACTGGAAGTCAATGATATTTGGTATGCAGTTGTTTTATCATTGGTACATTTCATTTCCATTTAAATTATTTGGCCCTGACCCCACAGGTGATTCATATGCTTGACTGACATAGATTAAAGTTCAATTCAAAGTTCTTATTTTGATTATTATTTAAGGGAGCTACCATTTGATTTTTATGGGGGCTAGGATGAAATTTGAAAAAAGGCAGGACAGAAGTTTTAAAAAAATGGCAGGACGAGCAACTTGGCAAAAGAAAAGCAAGATGACAAATTATGTATAAAAAGTCAGGATAAACTAATAAAAAAAATGCAGGACCGAATAAAGTTAAAAATAAAAAGGCAGGACCGAGATTACAACTAAAAAAAAAATGGCAGGACGAGCAACTTGGCAAAAGAAAAGCAAGATGACAAATTATGTATAAAAAGTCAGGATAAACTAATAAAAAAAATGCAGGACCGAATAAAGTGAAAAATAAAAAGGCAGGACCAAGATTACAACTAAAACAAAATGCAGGACACAATTTTTTTCATCCTAGCCCTCCCCCCCCCCCATAAAAATCAAATGGTAGCTCCCTAATGTCGGATCATGTGAACATGCCAATGCTTATATAAGATAGTGTAGCAATATGATTTGACAATTTAAAGTACATGGTCATTAAAAGTTGACACACATTAATGTGTCACCTGCTGATGATTATCACATAAACTTAATATTAATATTAATGATCCATGTAAATAAGTTCAAGGTTAGTTAAACCCTACCAGACGGTTTACCTTTCAATGATTCCATTTACCAAATATAGTTATCTATTTCTTAAAAGTATCTGAGAAACAGACCTAACAACTAAATCTGAATGTTGACCAATGGACAACAAAATTGAGGTAAAGGTCAGATGAATCCTGCCAGACAGTTGATCTACTGCATAAAGTCTCCCGAAAAACAGACTTACAAGGAAATCTTAACGTGACCAATGCACCATTAAAATGAGGTCAAGGTCAGATGCACCATGCCAGGCAGACATGTACACCTAACATGACCCCATACACCAAATATAGTTGACCTTTGACTTATAGTATCTGAGAAACAGATTAAACCACAAAACATAACATTGATTAATGAACTATGAAAATGTGGTCAAGGTCAGCTCAAAAATACCACACAGACGTTTACGCCTACACGTTACAATCATTCCATACGCTAAATGCAGTTGACATATTGCTTATAGTATTTGTGAAAAAGACCAAATCACTATAATGAACCATTAAAATGAGGTAAGGATCAGATGGACATGTATACATTACAATAATTCCATACACAAAATATAGATGACGTATTTCTTATAGTATCTGAGATATGGATATTTACCAAGAAAACTATCAACCTTGATCCATGAAATGAGGTCAATGTCCGATGAATCCTGTCTTACTTACAATAAGACCTTGCGAGGAGTCCCCATACCAAATGTAGTTATTCTATTTATCATTATAAGTAAGAAATTCACTCATAAAAAAGCATACAGATTTTTAAGCAGTTGCTGAACCATGAAAATGAGGTCAAGCACAACGGATATATGACAAATGGAAAATTTCCTTGTAATATAAAGGATCTGTATGAAGCATTCACGTTTTTTTATTTCTGAAATATAAAGCTTTATACAAAGCCTTAACACCACAGTTGCTGGATTAGCATCCCTGTCTCACATTCTGTGACGAAAGTCGCAGACAAGACAACATAAGAGGAATATACCTCATCCTTTAAACATAAAAAGGAATGAAACTCATTTCTGTTTGCAGGACAGGTTTCCAGAAAAAATGGACCAAAGACTTAAATGGCTAGGTTGTGCAGAATGTTACTTAAACAATGGAGAATAGTCTATACAAAACATTTCAATATATGGAAATATATAATTTATTAAAAAGTCCATAATGGAAAGTACACAACCCTAATTATATAACGTTTGCAAACTTTCTGTTTTTACAAAGATACGGGTTGAAAGCAGAAATTGGTTCCATCTTTTGAAAATTTTGCAAAAACATTGAATTTTCAACTGTGTAAAAAATGAAAAGAGATCTCGAACAATTCCATAATAGCAGGTGCACATCTGCAAAAATGTGCAATTATTCTGTGAATTAGTTTCAAGATCTGGGAAGAGAACTGTAGTGTATTACACAAAATAGTTCCCAATCACTCAAACAATTCCATAATATTAGGTGCACAACTTCAATATGTGTGTAATCTTTCGTTTTCAGGCATTTCGGCAGAAAACTGCAAGAGTTGATTTCACAAAACTGGTAAAATCTTTTGTACATTTGATTGAAAATAGAGAAAAATTCCTCATACAATTCCACAATAGCAGGTGCACAATTTAACATTACTTTAACATGTGTGCAATGTTGCAGGAATCTAGGTTAAAAACTAGGAGGAGATGATTACACACAATAGGTACTTTTTCTAAACCACCTAACTGACTCACCATACTATTAGCCAGTGCTTTTTTTTTTTTGGACTTCGTACAACCTGGTCAATAACACTCATATGCTACACTTAATTCGCCTCTTTAGAATCGAAAGGACTATGAATAATCTCATTGTTCGTACACCAAAAATGAAAATAACTATTTTTAAATTTCCATTGTTTAGTACGGTTTAAACCAATCACAACGTTTTGATGTACGCTTTTGAAAATATTACCCCGAATGCATTAGATTCTGACACGTCGAATTGAGCCCAAAAGTTTTAAAAGCTTAAAATATATATACGTTGAGATCGTGTGTACTACGTATACATAAAAGAACATACAAAAACTGAAAAGGTCATGTTTACCAGAGGGGGGTTACAACTTAATGTTTTAGTTAGTTTGTTTTACTCATGAAAGTTTACAAACAAAATTTATCATTTATATTATGCCGGTATCCTCAAACTGGCTACTATATTATGAAGTTGCATGAAGAATTTTTTATCAGTTTCGAGTTGCTGAGATCTACCGGCTTCAATCTTTCAATGCACAGTAACTCAGTCACTTCACATTTGCGACACGGATTCAACAATCGTTGCTGAAGAACTTAAAGTACATCTAAATGTACTACTATTAGGAGGGAGGTGTTAAACGGTATCGGGTCCGTTCGCCCTGATTACATGTTCGCCCTGGGTCCGTTCGCCATGAGTTCGTTCGCCCGTAGCGTCCGTTCGCCCTGGGTTCGTTCTCCCTACTTTTGTTAGAAAATATTAATATAAAGGTTATTTAAGTTTAAAAACTTGTCCAGATATTTATATGGTATAAATTCTCGAAATTCATGAAAACACATTGAAATATTTGAAAGTTGATGGCTTGTTTTGGAGCATTATAATTGTTCAAAATGACAATTCTCACGGATTGTTGCCTTTGATTATTTAAACAATTGGATGGATTAATAATGAAAACAACATTTTGTTTTGATAAATTAGTCAGCTTGGAATGAGTTAAAACAATGCTGCACGAGTTGTAAAACATGAAAAGGATTTATAAGTTCATTTATTATTATATATACTGCATAAATTGACTGACTAGAATTATTAGAATTGTTAACAAATATCAATAAAGATAAATACAATGTAATCCAGTATTCTACTATGCAAATCAAAGGAAAATAATTATTTGGTTGCAGCAATACAAATATTAGGCGAATTTTTCAACAAACTTAAACATACTCTGTTAAAATAATAAACATTTTCCAGCTAGACAACAATAAAAAAAAATCTGGGCGAATGGACTCTGGGCGAACAGGTATTAGGGCGAA